CCACAGAGGAAATTTTTGCTGTCCGAAAGGGGAGGGAGGAAAAATGTCTTAGGATGTCCGAAGGGGGGGAGAGGAAAAATGTCTTAGGATGTCCGAAGGGGGGGAGAGGGATGTGGATATGTTTGTCTGAAGGTTTGAGACTGTGATAAAGCCATGTGATCGGCGATTATAATGAGCACGCAATTTTTATCGGCTATATATATATGCAGCTCTTGAACACCGGAACGTATATGTAACAGCAATAATTATACGTCCACGTAACTTGTAAGCAAAATAAGCGGCCCACTTTTGCATGCATGGCCACCAAAAACTAACTCGCTGTAACAGCGTATCCTGCATGTTGAGAATGAGTCGAAAATTGACACGCTTTCAGGGTTCGAAATAACGGTTCGTGATCCGTGAATCACGAATCAATTTTCATTTTTCACGAACCCAATTTCATAGAAATTGATCAAAATCACGAATAAAAAATCTCTCAAATTGATAAAAATATACAATAATAAATTCAGTTCTTTGTAAATGTGATGAAGGATCATATATTCTGAAGATATTGTTGTTAGATTGTACTTAAAAACGATTATAATTCCACCCAAAATTCTATTTCTTTGCGAGTTTGCGATGTATATTATATATTTGAAAATTGCAGTGCTTCCACTTTTTAACTTCCAATTAGGGAAAATTCCTTAAAATAAGAAATTAATTTGAACCCTGGCTTTATTTATATATCTATATAGTTTGCAGTTTTCGTTCGTATATATATAAGTTTGAATTATTCAAGTGTTAAAAATAATAGTTATTAAACTGTTGCTCGAGTTAAGAGACTGCTATGTGAACTGAACTCAAAACAGTTTGTTTTAGTATATAGTCAATAAAGCTTCCTTGCGAGGTGCGTATCTAGAAAATAGAAATGGCTTTCATATTAAGGCCTAAGGGCGAGGTTAAGGAATGCAGTAATACTAAAAAATGCATTAACATGTAAGTAAACACAGCAACGCTTGTCAATCAGTCGCAAGTTACGTCGAATTTCAGTCAGAATTTTACTTGAACGAATTTCGAAGTGAATTTCTGCAAATTATCCGACAAAACCTGCCACGTGTTTGTGTTCTTAAGTCACAAGAAGCCGCCAAGTGTTCCGCCACGCCAGAGCTATTTGAAAACAGCATAGAAAAGTCATAATAAGCCATCGCTAATTCACTCTACGCTGGAGCGAAATCGTTTGAAAACTTTCACGTCACTTTTGCCGTAACAATTTGAGCACGGTTTCTAAACGGAGCGAGGTGAAACGGCGGAGCGCTTGATAGCTTCGTGTGAACACAAACGTGTAAACTTGAATGCTTTTCAGTTAAATTTCTTGGGTCTATTTGAAATATTTTGGGTTTACACGAGTGCTAATTCAATTTGTAAACAAACTGTAATGGCGGTAGTATGAACACACGTAAATTCTGCCCGCATTAGTTCGCTCGCGCGTAGTGTGAACGTAGTCTAATTTTCGGTGACGTTTTCAAACGGCGAGGTAGCCTTTCGAAAAATTTAGAAATAGTGGATGTCCAAAGGGGAGGGGGTAATTTTGGGCTTGGATGTCCGGAGAGGGGGGGGGGGGAGGAACCATTCAAGGATGTCCGAAGGGGGGGAGGGGGCTATTTTCGATTTCCTCCGTAGGGGGGTATGGCCCATTATGCGAATATGGCATCAGTACATGATGGTACAAATCTTGTCGTAATTCACATAGTTAAATCTGAAACCCTCTACTTGGAGTGAATTTCATATGGATGTGTTGCCATAGCAACAAACTATGTGTTACCAAAACTGACATAATTTGAAAGAAACATTAAAATAGATGAACATCCTAATATCTGCTGTTTAAAACTCTCAAACTGTTGTACACCTGAAGTTTTTTGAAACTGTATTGTGCTACCTTAAATTATCTATTCACTTGTTTTTTTCAGGGTTTTTTCAGTCATTGTTTGGTATTCAGTTTCTTATCAGACCACAAAATAATGGACCCTCTGAACAATTTCATATTATCAAAACTGTTGTTTATAAATATAAAAATGAAATTGCCCATTATTTTGTATTTTATAGAAATACTTGACAGTTGTGTTTGTGTTATTGGGTCATTCCAGAAAACATCCATACCACCCCCACAGAGGAAATAGGAAGTTAACCCCCCTACCTCCTTCGGATGTCCTAATACATTTACTATTGTCAGAAACAATTTTTTTCCCCTCCCCCTCTGGATGGCAGAAATTTCCTCCGTGGGGGGAGTATGGATCTTTTCTGGAACGACCAATTAATGTGTGAGACCACATCCATTTTAATGTGTGAAAGTGCATGTATATAGATTTTGTCAATTCTTTTTAGGTAAAGTCCATGGTTCTTTGGCTCGTGCTGGTAAAGTGAAAGGCCAAACGCCCAAGGTATTTTATCCAAATATTTTCAAGTACCAAATGGAATGATCAAACCAATATATGCTAGTTGGTTTGCCGATATATTGAAATTAATGATACACTGGGATTTTTGGCATACCTAATTTTTAAATAAATTTCCTTCAAAATTGGCACGGGCATTGTTTCCACACTTTTCAAAATAAATAATTCATCCAAATTCCCATTTAACATTTTTTCTCAATCATTTGAATGAAAAAAATAGTTCACACTAAAGAGTTCTAAAAGATGTGAACATTATGATCTGTAATTTTGGTATGGAACTGTGAGAAGGCTGAAGGCCTATTGTCACTGTTATTACTATTGAAAACAGCATGTTTATTGGTTGTGTAACCTTCTCATTCCCTCTATTCAGGTTGACAAGCAAGAAAAGAAGAAAAAGAGGACTGGTCGTGCCAAGCGTCGCATGCAGTACAACCGACGCTTTGTGAATGTTGTTCAAACCTTTGGCAAGAGGCGAGGACCCAACTCCAACGCTCCTTGAGAACTATGGCTAATATGTAATATGAGGCTAGAATAAATATATTTATTTATGCCAACTAAACAGAATGATTGTGTAATAATTTGCTACTAACAGGAAGGGTGTCATCTCGGTTGCAAGGAAAATATTGGTAAACAAAAAGATTACCAACAATTTCCAACCCTTTTTTTGTTTTGCCATACTTTTTTGTGTCCATGCTCATAAGCCTATTGTTGGATACATAGAGTAATTATCTGGTTAGAACAAGTGTTTTCCTATATTTTATTTTATAGCTTTTCATAGCTTATCTATGGATCTAGCTCTTGCATCTATGACTATATTAAATAGCTTTGGCTATACATACAATGATAATATGAATAACATACAACTTCAATGTCTTACAGTTGCTGTAATGACAGCTAATTACACTCGCAATATCAAACTTTGATATTGGTGGAATGTCAACAGCCCTAATTATTTGACTTGGGACTATATCATTTTGACAAGTTTACTATTGTGGTAAAAGCCATGTTTACACATTCAATCAAAAATTAATTTCTTTGATGACACATGTGATTCATATAATTTTAATGAATGTAACATGATTTTATAGTCCAATTGATGTCCTTTCTAATTCATTGCATCACAGAAGTTGAAAGAGTGGAGTGTCTTGTTTCATGTTTTGCCCTCCTACATGTAGGGTTATAAACAGCTCTCCTCCAAAGCCCGAGTGTTGCTTTTACTTTACTCTCTTTCCCGAGTGCTGAACCACAGAATACTACACAGAAGTCCATCTCCATTGTTTTTTGCATAAGCATTATCATGATTTGTCACTCGGCGAGTACTGTAAACAGAAGCAGTCACCCCCCTGGACATGTGCCATTTTTAGTATTTCCAGGGGGACTTGTTCTGTTTATGGTACTTGCTGAGTGACAAATAGAGCTTACGCAAAAAATAATGGAGATGGACTTCTGTCAGTAGTATTCTGTGGCTGAACTGCCTTGGAGTGATGGACTTAAGAAGGTCTATGAATGGAGAATTTGTTCCTGGACCAACAAGTTGCATGAATTGTGTAAACAAGGCTTTGATAGAATTAAAAGCTTTGGATTGGAAGGATGAACTACCTGAAAAATACAAGGAGAAGTTCTCCTTATCAATCTGAAGCTTTCTTATTGTTGGCACTTAACCTGCACTGGCATGGACTGTTTGATAGAATTGTCCTGGACTGTATTATATACAACATGTAGTCATTTTCCATCAAACTTGATGTGTATTAATTATTTTATAGTTCACTAGTGTCTCAGCTCAGTGAACAGCATGAACTAGATTTTTCTTCACTGTCTGGTTGTTTTGGTTCCAAAATGATTGCCGCTTCTGACTGTTTACGACCATTCTACAAAAACAAAAAATATAATTACATTCACAAACAATTTATTTAATGGATGAAGGTTTTAACACTGCAAGCTTGAAACAATACTGTCTGTGAAAAAGATCTATCCTGTACCTTGATTTGTGTATCTACATGACCCAGTATTAACTGACACATTTCTGTAAAGGCCTAGAAATAAAAGTAGAATTTTAGCAGTAACTTTTATGACCATATCTGCATTGATCTGTTGACTTACTTTTTCTATGTTCACATTTGAGTATGCACTTGTTTCAAAAAATGGTATACCATATTTCTGTGACAGCTAAAAAGAAACAAATGTTTTAAATGATGTATGTAACAAACAGTGCAGATACAGGAATATTGAACCGATGTTCAAATTGTGACCACAAACCTTCTCTCCCTCTCTGTAAGAAACTTGTCTTTTATTTTCACCAATATCACATTTATTTCCAATGATGAGGGTTTTCACTTCATTCCCGGCATGCTAAAACAATAAGAGAAATAGGATCACATTTGAAACATACAGTGGGTCTGTGTCTGAATTACCAGAAGATTAACCCAATGAACACCAGTGCTGTCCCTTTAATTAGTAAAGTGGTCTGGCATTAGACAGAGTAATATAAAGTAAGGCACAATTGGTCTTTCCAGAAAACATCCATACTTTCCCCATGGGGGAAATTGGAAGTTAACCCCGGCCCCTACTCCCTTGGGATGTCCTAATGCCTTTACTAGACAGATTTAGATCGAGGACGTAGACGTCAAAGACGACGTGAAAATGGTGTGTTGTGCCCATGTATGGATATGACATGCCATTTTCATGTCTTCTTTGATGTCCGCGTCCTCGATCTAAATCTGTCTGTTATTATCAGTAACCAATTTCTCTCCCTTCCAGACAGCAGAAAGTTCCTCTGTGGGGGGAGTGTGGATCTTTTCTGGAATGACCAGTGGCGTAGCCAGCCCGACGATTTAGTCCCGCTATGTAAATTCAAAATATTATCATTATTCATTTCTTTAGAAATTGATTGTTTTCACAGTCAATGAACACGAAAATATTTACATAGCGGGACTAAATCGTCGGGCTGGCTACGCTACTGGGAATGACCCAATAAAACGTATGCCATGTTAAAAACACTTCAATGTTTCGAGCAAATTTTTCCTGTCAAGAATTTCACAGTAAAATTCTTACCTCTTCCACATAATGAATCCACTTCTGTATATTGTCAAATGTTTTCCTTCTTGTGATATCATAGACCAACATTATGCCCTACAAAATTAACATTAGCAATTTTTTCTTCCTCATACAAAAACATACAGGAGTTGTTCCTAGGAATAGATTTAGTGAGGGTGTAGGATTGTATATCAATCAGTGACTAACCTGTGCTCGTCTGTAATACTGTGTTGTAATTGTTTCATATCTCTCTTGCCCTGCAGTGTCCCTATACAAAGAGGTATCAGGTTCATTACAAAGTTCTAATAGTTGGACTTCCCATTAAGAGCAAGCGCTCTCCCCTTGGCGAATAAAATTGTCTGGAGTTAGACAGAGTAAAATGATAAAATAGGGTGCATTGGGCGCACACTGCAACTTAGTGGATTAACTAAGTAATGCTGAATACTTTCCTCTTGTCTGGCATTTGGCAGAGTAAAAAATAATGTAGGGTGCATTGCAGCTTAATAGGTTAACAAGAGAAACCCATTAATATTACAAAGCGGAATAAAAATGTCACTAATAAAAAAAGACCACTCAACTTTTACAAGATTAACAAGCATTAATATCATGGTGTGAATTAAAACGTAGTGATTAATAAAATCACGCGACATAAACAAATAGCTCAAAATTGTTTATCATTTCAAATCTAAACAAACTCAGCATATAAATAATATGCACGTGCACTTTTTAATATTCTTTCACAATTTATTATTAATAAGATATAAACTTTATTTGTACGTTTTAGGTTTATGTAAAATACCTATCGTACGATTGGTACGAATATTGTCACATTTTTTTTATAAAATCATACAAACTCCAGCCTTTCCAGGTCCTATTGAATCTTTTCTAAAATGTACAAATACTAACCACATCTGAATTCGGATTTTACTCCCTTCGACATCAAAAGTTCTCATTTTAAAATCAATCCCTAGATAAAATCAAATCACATACTTCTGATATAAAGTATCCTATACTCAAACCGATATTATATTGGTCTGATAGGGATATTTGTAATAATTATAACATACCTATGGTCGAAAGATGAGTAGTCTTAAATTCGTCATTGGCAAATCGACATAAAATACAAGTTTTCCCAACGGCTGGATCCCCGATTAGTAATACTTTAAATAAATGATCGTAGTTTTTCGCCATGCTTACATCCATTGAATGATTGAGATGACGCGTGGTTTGCGTGGTCAAATTCCTTTGCGTGAAATATTGCCTTTTTTAGAAAATTTGTTGTCAGCAAATATCTGGTAAATATTTAACTGCCAATTAAGTGATTAGTACCCGCCAAAAACCGCCAATTTTGTATATTTGGCGCGGTTTTTAAATTTCTATCTGGGGGGGGGGGGGCGGTCGTAGAATTTAAAACAAACATGGCGATTTAAAGTACCGTGTTGTTATAAACTCAAGGATTGAAAATTTGAAATTATACGTTTTCTTTCTTATTAAAGCAAGCTGTTTACCAGTATTTGAACGATGTAATTGTTTGAATTTGAAATAGGAGTCTGTTTGAGTTTGTAATGGCCACATATTTCACAATTTAACAGATATGCGTATATGCGAGATATAGTCGTTGACATAAATAAATGATATTTGGATCTATTGGATGAAAGCAAGTCATGAAATTAAACCTTGTATTTTTTTTCTGTTCTTTGAGAGCAGTTTTGTTTCATGTTGATGGATTACGATCAGTTTGTTTGCTACCAAAGGTGTAATAGTTACCTAAACGCTGGATATATTAAAATCTACGAGATATAAACGAGAAAGCAAAATTTGAGATACTCAAATTTCTGAAAGTAAGAAAATGGCGTCCAGTACAAGTCAAGGAAAGACAAGCAAGAAAATAATGCGTCCTGTTGTGGTAAGAGTCTGATATTTTTTAATGTTATTTGATTAAAATGACTTAAATCATAATGTAATGAGTTTAAAAATATGTATTATAAACGTATGATGTATTCATCCAGAAACGAATCCCCCCTGACACATCAATATTTGGTGATATAGGTTGGTCTTCAGTTGTTAATTGTGAACATGCATGTCCTGCAAGATGAGACAGCCAAGAAAACCACCACTGAGGGACAGGAAAATACTTCTGGCAAATCATTTGATTGGTTTCAAGAAGATCAATTTCTGGTATAAATACATATTGCCCTAATTTATTATTTCACTCTGTCTGATGCCAGATGATTTTACTTTTGAAGGAGAGCAACAGGTTAAGTTGGTTAACACCCACACATCCCCCCTTGATGAGCAAAATCATTTGTCATCAGGTAGAGTTCAAACATTCACTTGTGTGTACTGTATGTACATTTGTAGTTGTCTGATAATTTACCTTGTTCAAATGTTTCAAGGAGTGCTTCTAGTTTCCCATTAATTGCTAAACACTCAGATTTTTGCCAGGTTCTCTGGTTTTCTCCTGTGGTGCTCTTTTCAATATAGGATTAGTGGATCTTTAGGGAGAACATTTTAGCTAGAACTGATAGGTAAATGTCAGGTTTTTTTACCTTCTACTGGCAAATATGGCATCACTCTATCACATGAATTTGTGGTTATAATTAATGGTCAGTAACTGGGCTCTGTAGCTCAGTTAGTTAGAGCACTGCACCGGAATTGTGGGGCTGCAGCAGCCAATTTGCAATTCCCACCAGAGGGCTTATGGTTGCATTTTTCGGAACTGCTCTTGGTTAGGACCAAAATATTTGCTTTCGAAAATCAATCTACAAAAAACATATGTACTCGAGCTCTTAGAACTGATAAAGCTATTCAGTATAAAGGCAATGTAGTTAGACAGGCATATTGTGTTGTGTGGTAATCATGGAGAAATTTTTATTTATACTCTTAATTTATTTTTATAAGGGTATCTTGAGAAGTCTAAGACTAGTTCTCATGAACAGAATAAATTGTCCACAGCCTACTTCTTCAAAACAAAATTATCAGAGGCAGACCAAGGAACTCAAGTCAAGTATATAAGATTATTATTGTTACTGCTAGTTGTTATGGTCTTTTAGTTGAAAGTCAGTTGTGTCAGCTAGAATTCAAGTCGGTTGTTTTCTTCTTTTTGTTTCAGTAGAGAATGTAGCAGTCAGTTACAATTTCAAGAAAAGACCAAGTATTCCTGGTCAACATTTTGTTCTGCAAAATTCCGAGAGTCAGAGTGTAATTATTTTAATATTTATGCAAAAACAGTTTTCCTTGTAGAATATGACATAATAGACATTTGTAAAAAAGAATAATATTAATTTTATAAAGAAATACAGGGATGAATTTACTGGGGGGTGCATACCCCACCCAGCGCTGGCCAGAGAGGGTGAAGGCGGGATGCTATTTTCTGTGATAAAGCAAAAAAAATATTAGAGACAAAATGAGTACAGTAATTTGAGTAATAACATGATGATAAGTGAACTGTGAACAACAATTACAATACAAATACAGTAGTCAAGCAAGACTTTGCAGTAGTGAAGCAGGTTGATGGGTGGGCGGCACACATGACTGACACAATTTGGCACCAGAGCTGGTAGAGTATCCCCCACCCCCTACCAGATCATGCTGGATCCATCCCTGAAGAAATAAGGCTACCTCAGTCACGATTATGTTATGACGAGCGTTTTATTAGTATTATTAGAACTGATTAGTCGCTCCCTTTTTGAGGTCAAATTTGTGCACTAATAGTTAAAATTGCTTTGTTCTTTTTATTATTTTTTAAAAAAGATTTACTGCTTGTGTGGAGAGAAAGTCACAAAGACTAGGAGAAATGGTACTTATATTACACTGATTTTTAGTTTTTTACATGAAAGCCGTTTGCAAGAAATATGTCAAATTTTCCATTCAACAGTGAACTACAAAAGCTACTCTATTTTTCACGAAACGTTGGAAGTAATGGTAAAGAAGTGTGTCAGAATTGAACTAGAAAGCGATCAATCAGATAGCGTGCAGAAGGTGTGGATTGCCTGATCTTTCAGTTAAATAATTAAATGAATAAATGCACTGGTCAGTATAAATGGCCAAACTCTAGTTAACTCCGATCCTACGTCATCAATTTTCCATCTCACTATCTTTGCCACAAAATGCGCGAGCTCAGAATGGATGATTTTAGCTACAGACTAAATTTTGATCTCGGCAAGAAGAACAAAATCCATCACCACAGCTAGAAAGAGCATGTTAAAATTAGTAAAATTGCAAAGTTTGGTTGCGAAATGTTGTAAAATGAGGGAAATATAGCCGTATGAAATGTGCCGAAATTCTGTATTAATTTGTATTACGCACGGGAAAATGCACCACTTTGGACCCAAATGTGATGCATTTTCCCGCGCGTAATACAAAATTTTTATATTTCGCAGTGCAGTGCTATATTTTCCGCATTTCACAACACTTCGCGGCCAAACTTTGCAGTTTTACTAATTTTAACACGCTCTTTCTGGCTGTGGTGATGGATTTTGTTCTTCTTGCCTAGATCAAAATTTAGTCCATAGCTGGAATCATCCATTGTAATTTTCATGCTTAAATTAGTCTATACCGAAAATGTCATGACGTCATGTCGCGGGTTACGGCGTTTTTCCTATACATTTGACTGGAATTTCCCCTGCAGTGAAAATATATAATATCCATTTTTGTTGATTATGAAGACGAAAAATTGACAACACGAACTCGGATCGGAGAATAAGACGCGACTTATTTTGGACCAAGAGGGAACAGTAATAGTGTGAACCCCTGTTCTTATCAGAGTGCTATAGTATATAAACGCCTGTATATTCTAAAAGCTCACTCACACTCAAAGAGTGGAGGTTCAATTTGAGCTTCTCTTGAGTGTGATTGCTGTTTTTGAATAGCTGGAGGGTGAGTAGTCACATAGTAAGGTACGCCACTAACCATCCAGCTATTCAAATACAGCATTGACACTCGAGGGAAGTTCAGATTGAACCTCCACTCTTTGAGAGTGTGAGTGAGCTTTTAGAATACAGGCGAAAGTGCACATGAGTGTTATTACATCGTGGAAAAGTTTTATTATTTTTCTTTGTTTTGTAGTCTGTCAAAGAAATAAAAGAAAGCAAGTTTAAAAAAGATGATGCAACAAGCAGTTATTTCACGGAACAAAGTGATTGTTTGCAAACATCATCTGTAAAACGCAAGAAAACAACCCTCAGAAAAATGTATGCCAGTATTTCAAATGATTTACTTGACTTATTGATATAATCTCGTATATTGTGTTAAGGACTTCCCTTAAATGCAAAATATGGAGTTGTGGTATCCAGCTTCATATTTATTTAATGTCCCTGACAAGCTCTTTATCTCTTCTCATCATGTGTCCATACCTTCTCAACCTTACTTCCCTCACCTTCTCTGCAATGTCTACCACCTCATATCTTCCTCTGATCTCTTCATTCCATAATGTCTCTGACCAGCTCTCCTTCATCTCTTCTCATCACGTGTCCATATCATCTGAACCTTACTTCGCTTACCTTCTCTGCAATGTCTACCACCTCACATCTTCCTCTGATCTCTTCATTTCTTAATGTCTCTGATCAGCTCTCCTTCATCTCTTCTCATCACGTGTCCATACCATCTCAACCTTACTTCCCTCACCTTCTTAGTCTGCAATGTCTACCACCTCACATCTTCCTCTGATCTCTTCATTCCGCAATGTCTCTGACCAGCTCTCCTTCATCTCTTCTCATCACGTGTCCATACCATCTCAACCTTACTTCGCTCACCTTCTCTGCAATATCTACCACCTCACATCTTCCTTTGATCTCTTCATTCCATAACAGCTCTCCTTCATCTCTTCTTATTACGTGTCCATACCTTCTCGGCCTTGCTTCCCTCACGAACTTTACTTCTTTATTTCATAATATAATGTCTCTGTCCAGCTCTTCTTCATTTTGTATTATTACAAAGGGCAAAGAAATCAAGGATAGCGTTGATTGAGCTACCTTCATATCAGAAATCTAAACCTCAAGTTGTGATAGTACAAGAAAATCTTGACTCACAAGCGACCTCGAGTAGAAATCGTGGCTGTAAACCTGGCCCTAGAAGCACTAAGACTACGGCAACAGCAGTGATTGACCTAGAGAAAGAACCAGAGGGATTGAAAGATGTCAGGTATCATACAGAAGGGAACTGTAAAGCTTGTTTATAAATTTGACAAAGCTAAACTGACAAGCTTGTCTATAAATTTGGAAATATTTCTTCAGAGATCTTGTCTGGTTCGATAGGAGTTTACTTCTCTGAAATTTTGAAATAAACAGACGTACAGAAATAAACAAACTAAAACAGCAGGTTAAATTTTAACTCAGGGTTAGCGCTAACCCACCTTTGAACAACCGGCCCCATAGGTCTAAAATTGTATATCATTTTTATAAATTTCAGTTGGAAAATTTTATCTACTAGAATAACTAGATAGAACTCATCTACATTCAGTTCGTTCGGTGGTGTCCAAAATCTTGATTATTCACCCATATACCTGACACTGGTAATCTGGAATTACCTTACTATATATACAAGAACTTGTGATTACTAATTAATGCTTAGCAACTAATCGACTCTGTAGCTCAGTGGTCAGAGAGCTGCACCGGAGCCACAAACCGCATGTCTAAAGTAGCATTTTTCATTCGAAAATTCCATCTACTAAAAATCTATCTATCTTACACACCACATTTCTGTGCGATAACTTTCGTTCAGCACACAAATTATAGGACGGAATTTACAGCCCGATCCTCATGACCTCAATATCAGACATTAGTTGACATAAGTTGATAACAATAAACATTTTATTTTTTCTCATTCTGTTACTTAAATGTTTAATCATTCAGCAAAGTTGAAGATTTACGGGATGATCAATTGAAGTTCTTGATCAATCAAATGGAGGATTATCTGAGAACTATATTTCGAGGGGAGGTTAGTCGTTAATAGTTCTTATTTATGGAGCTCTGATACTAGTGATAGCATAAGTTTATCTCAATAATACTAAAGATCTTTTCTAATTTTAATCCTATTTCCTCCACTCTACCTTCTAGGTATATTGCCGAAGACATGAGGATTATAAAAAGGGTGGAAAATGTAGAGGTAGAAAAATTCTTCATTCATTTGGTAATTTTGACATTTCCTGTGACAGTCAAAAGAGAGGTTAATTTGTTAACTAATTACGAACAGAATCGTCTGGCGTTAAGCCTGCCGCACACGAGAGAAAGTTGCTGAGCTAACCGCCTTGCGTAGCGGCTAGCTCAGCTATGCATTGTCACCGCACACGTTAGGAAAATTACTTAACAACAACATAATTGACAAAATCGTTTGCATTTTCCTCCATTTTGTTCAAAGTCACATGAAGAAACTATGGTTTCTCATTGGCTAATTGATTCAAGCAGCTCAGCACTGAGCTCGCAATATCCGCGGACGTTGAGATTTTTTCCTCGCGGAGTGAAAAATATCAAACACGATAGATATTTTCCTCAAGGCCTCGAGAGGTCAAATCCTCACGAAAACTATCTGCACATGAGAGAAACTTGCTGAGCTAGCTGCCATGCGAGGCGGTTAGCTCAGCAAGTTTGTCTCGTGTGGGGCAGGTTTTAGTTTAGACAGTACAATACCAAAGTAGGACATAACAAGAGATGGTTAACCAGTCTGGTTAACCATCTTGTTTCATCCCAATCGTTTACATTGTTCTCGTAGACGACTTAAATTTCCAAGTGGGAATGGCTCATTTCAGTGAAGACCAACATGAATGTATTCTCTCTTCTTTGGTGGCTATGTTTTGTTATAAAGATACAAAGGTACAGTTAAGAATTCCGTGTGAGAATTCCGTATTCTGCAATGAGTTTGAAAGGAAAATAACGTAGATATAAATTCAGAGGTGAATGCAGACTATTAAACAAAAGGGGTACAACCTGCCTTTTTGTATTATTTCCCTGGGAAACGAGAGGGAAAAGTTGTCGAAAGTCCTAGATTTTTAACCTGCAATCACTACTTTCTTTCAGTACCTGGATTATGTTACCAAAGTGATGCTACCTGAAGCTCTTATCAAGTTATACCAGGATATTCACAAGACAAGCTTTGAAGAGGTTTGTAACCGCACGTGACCTTAATAGAGACTCGTGATTGGTCAAAAAAATGTGAGGGTTTAAAAACTGCGTTGTTGATTTAATAAACAGACCTTATTTTTTTATTGCACTCTTGGCCCAATGGTACGTTCAGGGGCCGGTTGTATAAAAACGTAGTTAGCGCTAACTGCAGTTAGAAAGTAGTTAAAAAATAGTTAACTTTAATCACGTAGTTAAGCCGGTTGTATAAAAGAGTAGTTAGCCTTAACTGCAGTTAAAAAGTAGTTAAAGTTAACTATGCTTTAGGGTATAGTTAACTGTCCAAAACGTAGTTAAAAATGGCGTTTGTAAGGAGTGAACAACATTTTTCAGCAAAACAACAATGAAAAGCAACGGTTACCTGAGATTTTCAATCGCTATCTTCCCTGTGAATGTTTCCTGACAATATAAACTCTTCAAACGCTACTTTTACGAAAACAGAACATATTTTTGCACAGGACGATTTCTCGAAGACGAAGTATGGTCCATTACACCAAGAAACACTGATATATAATTGCCAAACAGCTATACCTTGGTTTAACGTAGACATCTCAAGGAAAAACTGCATTCTTTTATGATTTTTGTGGCGGTTTTTCCTTGTTTTCTTGTATATTTTTCACTGTTTTGAATAAAATTCCCGCCTATTTGCAAAATACGAGTCCACAATCATGTTGAAAATGTGTGTCAGCGATCGTTACTCGCTGCTTACTTTATGTAATTTTCTGTTTAAACGCCCCACGCAAACCACACGCACAGTTAACTACGTGATTAGTTAACTATCTGACTAACTACGTTTTGTGCAACGCAGTTAAGTCATGTAGTTAACTAATTATAGTTAAGGATTTAACTACAGTGATTAACGCTAACTACAGTTAGCGCTAATTACGTTTTTATACAACCGGCCCCTGGTCTATAGCTGGGTTTCAGACACGTGATACGTTTAGCGCTTGGTGGACAACTCCAAATGGAACACATTTATTGGATCGAGTTAAATATTCATCATAAGTATTGATCTTGTGTTTGGTATCAAATATATGTAATTTAACGAAATTAACTTGCTTCCACAAGGCATAAAGCGGCAATATGTGTAAAATTGACCACCAAGCGTTTCCCTATTGTATAAGTCGTTTAATGACTAATGAGTGAAATCCACCTATTGGTAATACGCATGCCCATGCAGAATGTTAATTTATTTATCTAGGCAGAGGAATGCTTATTCAATGATACAATCCGTGATAATTAATCTTCAATAGTCGTACAAGTTAAAAGGAAAGTAGGCCTATATTTATATTGTTAAAAACTTGTTAGAATGTAAACTAATTTGTTAAAATGTGAAAACTATTTAATGTAAAAAGTTAAACTGGGGTTCAATACAAAAGACAAGATTTAAGAAAGTATTTCTGAGGAAATGTATTTAAATTGTTATTAATATGTTTAATATAATAGTATATATAAGAGATAAATATTTAATATATAGCTATATATATAATTATATAAAAATTAATTTTTCTTTTACAATTGTGAATTGTAATTCATTTGCAATAATTTAATGTTTTGGTTTTTTGGACACAGAAATCATGATGTTTGACTCACTCTAATAAATATTCATGTTCATACTGTGAGATTTGTGTTGAAATTACAAAAAAAAAAGAAAAAACTTTGGTGTTCAAGCATTGGTCAGAAAGTTAGTACTATTACCTTCTTATGACCGGCCTTTTTGCAAAACTTCAAAGTAGTTTCAATATTTTTTTATTTTTAATAGGTACTGGTGATACTGATGTAGATTCTAGACACTAGATAACTATTTTTAAATATTTCTAGGAAAGTTAAAAAACTTGCATTTTGTGTTGAAATTTCTATCTATGTTATATGTGACATTTTTTGTGTGGTTAATTTAATTTTTTTGCTAATTTTCAAAATTATTTTAACATTAGACTGCAGCATTCATATGGCTTTGACTACAGGTTTTAATTGTATTATGTCACTCTTCTTGATATTCATGCCTTTTGAACATTTTCTATCCACCATGACAAGGCAAACAAAAGGGAGCACTCCTTGGCTATATCTTCGTTATACATGAACGATCTCAATTCACCAACAGGAAGATAAAACAACTCAATTTGCTCGCCTTCATGTACATTTCCACCTCCTGCACCTGACACCAGCATTGGATCTGTCACCTCTGCATAAAACAATGTATGCATGTTGCAACTGGTGCCAAGTCCACCCCTCCAAGCGCTAACTCGTTTGATATCACCCAAGGGAACGTCATACCCACACTCCTCGAACACTTCCTCTTTTGCAATCTCTTCTAGACTTGTTTGTTTGTCAACAATGCCAGCACAGAGTTCGTAAGAGACGCCACAAGTAGGCGGGGCCGTGTAAGGGATACTGCTGTCTATTTTCTGGACATGTTCTTTATGTAGATCATGACTTTGTTCCACATGTTGTTCTCTGTTTACTGTCATATACAGAGCTGTGTAGAGAAATGTTGAAATGATTTACCATTTTTGAAGTATTTAAAACCCATTCATCTACTTTCTCCTTGAAGAATAGCATTATCTGGTGTTAGCTAGACAAACCATGGCTTAACCTACTCTACTTTAAAGATAAAGAGCAGAGCCCAGCAAATAACTTTAAAACCAAACATAATAAAAGTAAAAAATTTATTAGCTAACGTTTTGTTGATAAAATTTTGTTAATACTTTTTTACTTTTATTATGTTCGGTTTTAAAGTTATTTGCTGGGCTCTGCTCTTTATCTTTAAACTAAAATTTCCTCCTGGTGTATCAATTGCTACTCTACTTTATCCAAGAGTGGACAACTTTTACTTTATATGAAAAGGAAAATGTTGGGCATTAACCAGTCTACCTCACCCCATAAATCTTAACCCATGCACCCTCAGGGTGCGATAATTTGCATACCAGAAGTATGCCAACATTATGGTTCAGTATTTCTTTGTTTTCAACCAAGTACCACATAAGTAAGTGGAACTCTTGCTATCCGCATACTTGCATTTTGGCTTCGAACCATAGACCTTATATTGTATTAGGGTGAGGCTATAGGTAAGTCTTTGTGTGCAGGATACTAACTTACCTGGTCGAAATTGCTTTACCAACACAAGTGCCTGCCTTGTTGTGTTGTAGAGAAGAATATATACACTATACAAGAAAGTCATTAGTTATTTAACTTTGGTATTTTATAATACTATAAATATGTTACTATTAATTAGTAAAATAATAACAGGATAAATGAAATAAAATGAATTGTTTACCCATCATGTTCTCTAATATAATCCCAGATTCGATTAATTCCATTCTAGCAGAAAAACAGAACAATGTAATATTTTACTTTTTGTGTTCAAGCTCGATTTCAAGTATTAAATATAATATCGAAAAACTCAGTTGTGCTCTAGCCAAAAATTAGAAAATCATTGCAAGCATAAAAATATTTACTTGTTTAAAAGTCACCCTTGATGATTGTATATACGGCGAATTAGTGCAGGGAACTACTTGCATTTCTTTAATTTCTAAATTTTCCAATTTACTTGCAGAGGAAGCCATTTTGAAATTTAATTAATTAAATAAAAAATTTAAATCCCCCCCTTTCCCGCGTTGTACCGCGAAATGTCCATTTCAGGTTTAGCTGAATGTTAATGATAACTATCTATCAATTTCTGATGACGTCAGTATGACGTTTTCTATTTATTTTTCAAATATCATTTACGTAGATCTAAAATCGGTAAATTATATTCAAAATGGCAGCCGCACAACGTGTGCACAAAATATTAGAATGTTTTTGAAAAAGTACTGTTTAATATGTCAATTTAATCACATGGATGAGATACAAATGAACTGTTTCATAGATTGTCATGCTCACTTGTCAGCAAATGAATTTGATGATGTTAGTTTTAACTTTTTTTGAACAAATATTCAAAATTATATGTTGTGCAAATGTATTAAATAATATGTATCTTTGCCTTTGGTCATTGTTTAGCATATTTATGTGTGGTAGGACATAATTTGTGAACACGTTTTTGTCCTCATTTGCACCATAAATTGACAATTAAAGTATGTTTAACAGTACATGCACATTCAAGACATTTAGCTATTTTCACTTTCTAGGATATTGGTGTAGTGCTTGAACAAGCAAAAGAAGTAAGTAAGTCGTACATGGCATTTTTAATCTGTACACCTGGGGGTGTAGACCTGGGAATTTCAAAATGTTAGACCCTCCACTGGATTTTCCAGAACCAAGGTTTTTCGTGGTGGTCCCTTGGAATTTCCAAGCAATTTTTGAAAACTGCCTCTGCCAAATGCATTATTTTTACCCCCTCTCTTGGAATTTCTTGGCCATTTGGGAGACAACATGCCCTGGATATGGATTTTTTACCCCCCTTCCCTGGAATTTCCGAGTGACCCCCCCCCCACCTGGAATTTCCCAGATCCTCACCTCGGGTGTACAGATTAAAAATGCAATGTTCCATATTTGTTGGGAGCATCTTTACAATGTCTGTGGCCATTTTAACAGATGCATTGTTTCAGTTGGTAAGTATATTAAACACATGACTTCCATACACATCTAGCTGAACACTAAACCCTAATTTCTATCTACTTAAAATCTGAAAAACTAACTACCTGACTGCTGTCCACAAAGCATGGTATGATTTACCATACTTGCACTTTTATAGTGGCCAAGTATAATGTATTGTTGTTCACCATGCCTTATCAAAATTTTAGGTTGGGGTCAAAGCAATTTTGGGTGTTACAGAATTCAAGAGTGAGTTTCAAAAAGTAATGGATTTGTCTGAAAGGTATAAATTAAATACTACTTAGATATTAACATTATTTAAATTTTTCCATGTCAACCAAATAATTTTAGTCAGAACACATTCTGAGAAGTCCTGCCTTTCCTAGAAACATCAAACTCTTTGAGTATTTTTTCAGGTAGTTCAGACTTCAGAGACCAACCACAGCAACTTATTGCAGGATATATACCATGTATTTCACCAATAATGGACCCCTGTCATGATTAAGCTGAAGAGAGACTGAACTAACAAATCTCTGACACCCCAACCTTTGGGATATCGTATGAAGCAGTTGAGATGTCATTATGAAACATTATACTAGCAGGGTCTGAAATTTGATTTTTTTTTAAGTATCCACATGGATACCAAGGTTTTAAAATTTGGTATCCCTCCCGATAATCCAGTATCCTAAATCTGGATACTTAACTAGTTGGCTTTTCGTATCCCACAGGGCCAGACCCAACATCACTCTAAGGCTTACTCTTAGTCAACTATACGTCAAGCATTTTCGTCCATCGCATTTTATGTTTAATATACTAGAATCCTAAAAGGAACTTATACAGTTCAAATATTCAATTTCTTAACAGTTAACAGGGTTATTTAATTATAGATTAAAGTCTAAGTGTCAACTTCTCTGATTTTTAATGCTATCAGTATGCACTCAAATGGGAACTACAGCGTCATTATCATCATCATTGGCTGTATTATCATGAAGACCATTGCCTGCATCAGGAGTTTTGGTGGTTTTAATTAAATATTTTTTACATAATATCACAAGAAAGCATGGATTATTTACGAGTATTTTAGTTCATGACGGCAGCAAAAAAAATGTATTTCTTTTTTGCTAACTATCGACCTTCAAATTTCCTTACAATCTTCTTGACTTTTCTTCACGTGCCCGCGAATACCGCCTGCTACGCAGGCTAGACTTTTCTTGATTTCAAAAAGATTCTTTTCAATGAAGTCTGGACAGTTGTTTCAATGTGGAAACACTATTCAAAATGGCGACTCGCGAATTGAACACTGAGCTATACTATAGGAATTGAACCATGAGTGGACTACATGCATAAATACAACGTTAAGACGAATGCTAGACTTGTGTTACAGCACTATTTAATGAACAAAAATGTGGGGAGACTACTAAAACATTAACTGCTATCCCGTTTTTTAAAAAAATGTGGTATCCCATCGGGATACAAGTAAAATAAACTTAGTATCCAAAACCAAATTTCAGTATCCCGTGGATATCGGGATACCGCAAATTTCAGACCCTGACTAGCTCATTGTAAAATGTATGTGTTCAGATTCCCAGACATCGTAGCACCATGTCTTGGTATCCATCCTGTTCAAGGTGATCCAAGAGAAAAGCAAAGACCAGCAAATTTAGAGGTGATCATGTTTGGCCTGTTCTTGGATAATTCCTTAGTTAGAAACTTTTTAAAATTTTAAATCAGTGCATAATATTCTGATAGTTACTTTTCGGTCTAGGATCTTGTTGGTGTAGAAGAGATGATAAGGTTGCACAAGGAGAAATTATTTGCAATTGGTGAGGTAAAAAATAAAATTTGTGTTCTAAAATTATAGACACTTCCCAAATTCGCTTTAGTGCACACAGAACAATAGCTTGAAATCAAGGAGGGCAATGTAATATGTAATTCATTGTATTCAAAATGATTTTGCCTATTCTTCCTTGTGACAACCCCGCCTTTTAAAACCACACCAACTTTTATATAACTGTTATTAAACCACATGCTTTGGTGACCACACCATTTTCATGACCTCACCCACTTTTCCATAACCATACCCACTTTCCCATCACCACACCCACTTTCCAATGACCACACCCACTTTCCAATGACTGCACCCACTTTCCAATGACCACACCATTTTCCATGACCACACCCACTTTTCAATAACCACATCCAGTTTTTCAATAACCTTCACCCGTGCAGTTTTCAATGACCACACACATCTCCCTCCATTAGCACACTCTATTTTTCATGACCACATGACCACCAAATTTAAAACATCCTGAGAACCCTGATCTGTAGCTGATGCCTCATGCATGGCTAAGTTAAATGTTATTTACCTTTATTTAGATTGGTTTGGACCTGACTCCAAGATACTTTGATCCAGATAAAAAAGAAATGCAAAGAGAAGGCCAGTATAAAGTGTTTTCAAGACAGGTGAACATTGGTCTTGTGCCTTGTATTGATATTGGAATGTGTATTGTATCAGGTTTTGGTCTTTTGGACTTGATTGTAGTAAGACTTATATTTCATTTAGATTGAATTAGCCAAAGAGTTGGATCTTCCTGTGTGAGTATTACGTGATCAACATCGAAGTCAATATTGCAAGGTTTGCAATGTTAGATTGGCAATCAGGAAATGCCGACCTGATTGCTGACATACCGTCAATTCAGGACAGCAGACAATTGCCAACTGATGAGTTTGCATGAGATGGGATTTAGTGCAAAAGAGAAAACAAATGAAACAATGATCTTTTGTCGACCTGATTCTTAGTTATAATACTGAGGCATGAATAAGCTAAATAACCTGTGTACAAAGCAAATTATTTTGCACAGCATAAAACACTATATGAAATTTATGTACAAAACACTAATATAGTACAGTTGTTTTTAAATTTATAAGACATTTTAAACATACTCCTTTCTTATACTTAGAAATGTTCACTCGAGATCGGCAGGCAGACCTACAATTAACTTTCTAAAAGAACATGGTGCCTCAAAAGTTTTGCTTCATGCCTTTGATGGCAAGCCCTCTGTTGCAATGCAGGGAGTCGAGGCTGGATATTATTTTTCATTTCCACCAAGTATAGTGAGATCAGAACAGGTACGAAAACACAGATTTTCTCAATCATGTCTTTTTCCTGAACCTGTTTTTCCACAGAACATCTTTTGTGGAAAAACGTGTTGGTACATGCAGTGCTGGGGGGGGGGCATTTTGCCCTCAGGCCTCCAGCTCAAAAAGGGCCCCAAAGCAACAAAGGCCTTAGTTTACATTTTCCTGATACAAGAGTCAAGATATTGCTTAACCGAGAATATAAAATCCCAACTGCGTCAGTGACGGATAATATTCAATAAAGCGTAATATGTTGTAAAACAACGCTTCTCCTGGGGGTTTTTTATGTCATAGCCATAGGGAAAGTTTTGACCATAGTCATAGCCCTGGGAAAGTTTGTCAAGTTTTGCTCCGGACCCCGCACAAACCTCAGCTTGGTCACAACAAGCGAGATTAATTTTACGGTATTTTTAATTTTGGTTTTTAGAAACAAAAGCTTGCAAAAGTACTGCCTCTGTCCAATATCTTACTTGAGACAGACAGCCCTGCATTGGGAATTGAGAAACAAGTAAGGACTCCACGTTTTTGTATATGCATTCTTTTTTGCATTCTTGTCATTTAGCCCAGGCGGGAAAACTTCCCGCCATTTCCAAAAGTGGCGCGAACTTTTCCCGCCTCTGGATTCTTAGCAATGTGATTGGCTTACAAGAGACTTGCGGTCGTTCTTTTAACCAATCAGAGGGAGTTTTGTACAACCTGTCGTGAACCTGTCGTGTCAAATCGTGTCATGCTTCGCAAATTTTATTTGCTGTTTATTTCATTGTTTGTTTATATGCTCATGAAAAGTTTTGTTTTCCCATTAATTTTTGTTTTTTTAGGTTCGAAACGAGCCGAAGTTTATTCAGTCATCTTGTGAAATGATTGCAAAGATTAAAGGACTAAAACCTGAGCAAGTCGCAGTCGAAACGACAAGAAATGCTCTCAAACTTTTCCCAAAATTACAACGATATATCAAGATATAAGCAAAATTGTTGCCGAGAAAGATAGAGTAAGAGGTATGAATGACAAAGTACTTGTTTTAATGCAGCTTTGAAGTGATAATTATTGTCATGACATAAGTTGGAGTGTTGCCGTTGGTTGAAAACATGGTCAGTAATTTGATTTTTTCTGTGTTGGTGTTGTGTACTCAGGTGAATATGTTTGTGATGTTACTCTGATCGTATATCCACACCGGGCGAGCTTGAAAAATATGCCCGACCACGGTGGGAATCGAACTCATATTCACCTGAGTACACAACACCAACACAGAAAAAATCATATTACTAGATTACACTGGTATCGAAGGTGTCGGAGACTTTCAATTATCATATGTAGTATATAGACCAAAGTACATTTAATCTTAGAATATAGATAATTCATATAGTTATTAGTTTAAATATATAGTTATGAACACATCACTATACGTGCAAAAGGGAAACGAAAGTGCCGAGTAATAGACTAGAAGTTTCGTATCCAACGCAAGAGATAAACAGACGTGACTATGCAACCGCATTGTCAGGGCGCAGTCGAAACTATATAGGATCAAATCGCGATGAATTTGCATATTTTCCGCAAGGAAACTTCGTCACATAACCGCATAGACTTCGTCATATAACCACAATAAGTTCCTATTATTTTACTATAAATATAGCCTCTGTATGTTAGTTAGACACATTAGAACTTCAGTCTACTGGAGTCTGGAGAGTTAACATCGATTGTGATACAGTGAAGTGTAACGTATCTAATGTCATTGTGACCTGTGACCTTTATTAAAGTTTTTAAAATTTAAACGTGATTTGTGAATTTGTGAGTTGTTGGGCGAAACAAGGGAGGCAATCCCCAACAAAGGAACTAGATTCTGTTCCGAAATATCACTTACTCGAACCGTCCTGACCGCGTAGCTCAGTTGGCAGAGCATTGGGCTAGTATTCCAAAGGTCGTAGGTTCGATTCCCACCGTGGTCGGGCATATTTTTCAAGCTCGCCCGGTGTGGATATACACTCAGAGTAACATCACAAACATCATGGTTAATTTGTGACGTCGCTGAAGTACGTGACAAATATTCTTCGACGTTTGGAAGTCATATACTTCTAGTTCGAATTCTAACCTCCAACGTACCTTCGCTGTAACCTTCGCTGTCGCCTATTCAGGGTGCGATAAATCGCGTACATATACCGGAGGTACACTAATAGTAATAAGTACGGTCTGGTACTTCTGTTTTCTCAGCCACGTACCACGTAGATACGCGCTATCTGCATACTTAATCCATTGAGTCGCATTGCACCCTACTTTAGTATTTTACTCTGTCTAACGCCAGACGATTTTACTCGTCAAGGGGAGAGCGCTGGCGCTTAATGGGTTAATTGATTGATTGATTGATTTTAATAATTACCACATTGTAAATTAATAAAAATTTAAAAAACGTGATATTACATAGATAGTATTAAAATTTTTAAATTTGCAAAAAGTTCAATTTAAAACTACTATAATATAAACTATATTAATGATATGTACTATAAAATATTTTGTTATGTCTATGGTCGGTCCCAGTTTCTAACACACTTTGGGATAAAACTGTTCTTATATCGTTCAGTTTTGCACTTATACATAGGATAAGTGCGTATATTTCTTAGACTGAATTTGTGAGATATAGCACTGGGAAGTAGCGTTCTCAACTTATCGTCTGAGTGTTGATGGATATTCTTATAGAATGACAAGTACTGATTCTCTCTTCGCTGGTAAAGTGTAAGAAGGCCAGTGTTTCTTAGTGAAGTAGTATAGGAGGACTGGGGGAAAGCGATTTTCAATGCACGTTTTTGTATACTCTCGATTTGATCAGCGAGGAATTGAGGGAGAGAAAAATGCCATACAGGTGAGGCGTATTCCAAAACTGGACGAATAAACGCACAAAAGACCGTTATTAAATCATTGGCTGGGGCACCAGATCGTTTGAGGATCCTTAGAGCATAAAGACGTTTACTTGCTTTGGTGCAGATGTAATCAATGTGCGCATTCCAGGTAAGATCCGATGATATTATCACTCCCAGAAGTTTGAAGGTCTGGACGATTTCTATGTTTAAACCAGATGACGAGAGGGCATCGAATATCATAGGGACTCTAAGAAAGGATATACGCAGTTCTTTGGTTTTAGATACATTAAGCCGCATGTTGTTGTGATTGGTCCAGTCATTTATAGTGTTTATATTAGCTTGAAGCGATGAAGTAGGGGACGATCTTGAAACGATTTCGTATGTGGAGCAGTCATCGACATATTTGTACATTGGAGTGTTGGTTTGCAAGTCATTTATCATCACAAGGAAGAAGAAGGGTCCAAGTTTTGTACCTTGTGGAACCCCTGCATTTATTTGTCGCTATGTTGATTTATTCTGGCCAAGCTTGACACGTAAATATCGGTCATGCAGGAACTCAGCGCACCAATTCAACAAGATAGGAGGGATGTTGAGTTGTTGTAATTTATGAAGTAAAATATTGTGATCGATGCGATCAAAGGCTTTCGAAAAGTCAATCATACAACATCTGATAGTTGAACCAGGGTTTTCTAATTCGGCTAGCCAGTTATGGATCATGTGGATAAGAGCGTGTGTGGTGGAGCAATTTTTCATATTTCCGAACTGGAGCGGGTCGATTGATGGTTTAATATAACCAAAAAGCCATCGAAAAACAAAGCTTTCCAATAATTTACTCAGCACCGGTGTGAGAGAAATAGGTCTTAGGTCGCTATCAACTGATTTGGGATTAGATATTTTTGGCGCTGGGATAACGTCTGCTGATTTCCAGAGTGTCGGGATGCAACCTTGTGCAATGCTGGCATTGAAGATTAATAACTTTTTGCTTGTACCATTCGATAATCTTTCCAATACGGCCATGCCCAAGTTATTCAAAACCATAATTTAGTCGGAATATGTGTAAGTCTGGCATGACTTGGCATTGAACATGACCGGCTGGACTGATGGGATGAAGTGGCACTAAATCTATAAGGAATGTTGGAGTCGATTGCATAGTGTTTGAAAACGCAATTGTGCTCCTTGATCTGTAACTTCTAGTTTTTTCAGGTTACTGAATGAATACCTTTCAGAAACCTGTACTTTATATACTTAATTTTAACACCTGTGTTATGGCAGTGAAATTTGGGCACCCCAAACAACATCTAGGGACCTTCTTTGTCTTGAAAGTGTCCAAAGACGAGCGACCAAGTATATCCTTCAAGACTTCAACTCATCTTACACCGACCGTTTAAAGAAACTTAACCTACTGCCTATCTCATACTGGTTCGAAATAAAAGATATTACGTTTTTTTATAAATGCAAAGCTGGTTATTATGACTTAACACTTGAAGACTATATTCTAGACAATTCTACTATAATCATCACACTCGCTTTAGCTCTACTGATTCATACCGATTCATGGCCGTCGCTCAGAGAGCTCTGCATTTGATCTGCATGTTGCTGTATTTATATCTTTGTTTTAAAAACCTTACACGATGTAAAAAATGCAATTCACTCGATGTGTATAATGGAAACGTATTCTACTCCTCAAATATAGCCGCTAAACCAAATATTGCAAGTTTTGTTCGTTTACCACGGCAACCTAGATCTTGTTCTGGCTCGGCAAGTTTAACGCCAAACTCAACTCGTGTGATTGTTGCCTGTCGTCTACTAACTAAAGCCTCAATCTCGTTGCTTCTTATTCAAATGTCAAACGATGTTGAATCCCAGCCTGGTCCTGTAGTCGATCGAAAAGGAATCAAATTATGTCATTGGAATATACAACATCTCACGGACAGTAAATTTGAAGAGATTCGCAACTTATTGACATGCCCCAGCAAGGAGCTTTTTGGTCTGGACATTCTCATTTTATCGGAGACCTTCTGTACCGAAAAAATACCAGAAACATTTTACAGCATTCCCGGCTACAAAGTCTATCGAAAGGACAGAACTGGAAAGTCAGGCGGTGGATTATGTGTATATGTTAAAAACTCAGTTCAAGCTGAGCGACGAATTGATCTCGAAACAAAAGATGTGGAAATAATATGGCTCGAAACCTGTCCCTACAAATCGAAACGGCCTCTATTCATCGGGGGAATCTACAGACCACCCTCATCAAACGCTGCTAGTGATAAGAGTATCGGGAAAAACATCGAAAATGTCTCTCTTTTAGGTCGCGAGGTGGTACTTTTGGGTGACATAAACATTGATTATTTATGCACAACGAAATTTGCAAATCATACATTCACGAAAGTATTAAAGTCATTCAACCTTTCGCAGCTTATGAATGTGATTACACGCCCCATATCACGCACCTGTCTCGATCACATCTGGTGCACCCATGCTGAACGGCTAAACAATGTCAAAGTTTTAAATATTGGAATATCAGATCATTTGCCTATTATGACAACCAGGATATACAAACGTGCGTGTCACAACAAGGGTAAGCATTCCACAATAAACTATCGCGACGTAAAGCATTTAAACAAGGACAAATTCATTACCGCCCTTAAAAATGCACCGTGGGATAGTGCTTTTGTATTTGATGACGCAAATGACACTGTCTATGCATGGTATGAAATATTTAATGATGTCGTAAATGAATATCTTCCCTTAAAACAAAAGCGGGTAAAGCGAAATACACAGCCTAAATGGTTCAATAATATAATTGGGGAGGACATAAAGGCACGCGATAAACTGTATTACAAAGCAAGGAAATATCAAACTGACGAAGATTGGGCAAACTACCGCATTGCAAAGAACAAAGTGACAAAAACAATAAGAAATGCGAAGAAAAATTACTTTAGTGATAAATTTCAAGAAAATAAACAAAACCCCAGTAAACTTTGGAACTTGATTAAAAATCTAACAAATGATGATGCTGGAAAAAATGAAAGTGTCAAATTTTTGACCGAAAATAGTACGACTTTAAAAGATAAAGTGACCATTGCTGAAACATTTAATCGCTTCTTTGTCGACCCGCAAAACAACCTCGCGTCCACCTCAGCGCCCGTAGAAATAGAACAAACACCAAATCTAGATCCTATTCCCCATGTCGATACTACATTCAGCATTCCCCCCATGTCAAAATTAAGAGTGATTGAGTTACTTCTATCCATCCCCGTTCATAAATCCACAGGAGACGATGGCATTAGCGCCAAAATAATGAGAATAGCAGCACCAGCTATAGCCGAACCATTAAGCCAGCTGATGAATCGTTGCATAAACACTCAAACGTTCCCCTCAAAATGGAAGGTTGCTAAGGTCACCCCAATATATAAAGGGAAGGGAAACCGAGATGAAAAGTCTAACTACAGGCCTATATCAGTGCTTCCCATTTTATCTAAGCTACTGGAAAGGCACATATGTGAACATATGTATGGGTTTCTGCAACAACGAAACTTATTTTATCGACTTCAATCCGGGTTTCGTAAACACCATTCGACTGAAACTGCACTCATCAGACTCATTGACCAATTGCTACTTGATCTGGATAAAAACAAGGTAACTGGACTAATTTTTGTAGACTATAAGAAAGCCTTCGATCTGATAGACCATCAACTGCTCCTTAACAAGTTACATAATTATGGCATTCAGGGGGATGAGCTAAACCTCTTAAAAGACTATCTTAGAAACCGTTGGCAGTATGTAAATATTGATGGTTCCCGTTCTCCGAAAATAGAGGTGAAATGCGGTGTGCCACAAGGAAGTATTTTGGGTCCAATCTTCTTCCTTTTGTTTATCAACGATCTTCCGTCAGAGGTATTCCACTCCGAGGTCGACATATATGCGGATGATACTACCCTTAGTCACTCCGCAGAAGTGGATTTGGCACCTACAGCCATAGAAACAGCACTACAGCTTGATTTGGACGGCATTGTAAGGTGGTCAAAAACAAACAAAATGATCATAAATGCCAAAAAGACAAAATCTATGCTTGTTACCGGGAAGAGATTGGCCAAAAAGTTGCCGACAAAGATATTGTCGTTACAGTCTGAAAACGAGGATATTGAACAAGTTCATTTCCAGAAACTTTTAGGAGTCACTATCGATCAAGAACTGACTTTTGATAAACACGTGGAAGAACTTTCTAAGAAATTGGGACAACGACTGGGCGTTCTTCGGAAAATTAAACGGTTTCTTCCTTTAGACCAACGTAAACTGTACTACAACACCATGTTTAAGCAAGTCATGATGTATGGTGCTACAGTTTGGGCTAACTGCTCCGTGGAAAACTTGAAAACAATTCTTCGACTGCAAAAACGTGCTGCCCGCATCATTTTGGATGTCGGTACAAGAACAAACAGCGTATCATTGTTTAAGCAGCTAAATTGGCTTGCTTTTCACGACGAAGTGAGGTTGAACAAATGTGTCTTAGCTTACAAACGGTTTCAAGGAAATTGCCCATCATATATTAATGATATTCTAACCTCAAATGCAGACATACAAACCCGTTCGTCAGGCCGTTACAGTCAAAGAAACTTGGTATGCCCACGCTATAGCCGAGTCATGGAAGGGGGAAAGTCTTTCCAGGTCTCCACGTGTAAACTTTGGAACTCTATACCTCCTCATATAAAAACTTCCGAAAAATCTGTAGAAACTTTTAAGAATGAACTTTTTAACTATTTTTTTCATAGGTATAATGATATTGATTCTTTCACAATATCTTGACTTTTTAACTTATGAACTTATAGTATTATCATGATTACATGTTATATAGTATTTTTAATTGTATGTAATGTAGTTATAGTATAAGAGGGCCACTTGTTAGTCAGTTGATATACTGTTCAGTGTTTACCCTCGTTAAATAAAGTTGATTGATTGATTGATTGATTGACCGACCAACCGGTTGCAGAACATCTTCTTTCCGAAACCTATTTTTCAATAGGATAGTGCCACTTTGGAACAGCCTGCCAGGAGAAATAAAATCCTCTCGCTCTATTCAGTCACTGAAACTTAAACTCTATAATCACTACACTCAAAAAGTTAATGCATGTTTTGATGTTAATAGGCCTAGGACTTGGAAAACGTTTTGCTCTAAATGTCGTTCTTGTTTTATGTCTTGTTGTTCGTAGAAGTGCATGTTCTGAGTTTTTGTACGAATGTAATTGTGTGTAATACAGTAAATATGTAACTAGTTATGTATTTTGTTAATTTTATAACCATTTATAGTATAGTATAGTATAGCATAGTATAGCGTAGTATTTTCATGTATGGCAGGACTTAATTTGGGACTTTATTAGTCCTGTTGTCTGTGCCTTCAATTTCTTATTGTAAAACTAATAAAAAAAATTTTTAAGCTGCTGTGGTTTCAAAGAAAATAGCCTGGGTACGACGTTGCTGTGGTTTGAGTTTGAACAAACTACCGAATCAGATAAGCCAAACAAATATGTTGCACAGGAATGACAAAAATTAGAAATTTTATTTCAATTCCACTGCCGTTTTGCGTACGAGCTTGATTTATGGATGAATCAGCAGATATGTTCTAGCAAGCATTACGAAAGATTAATGGCAATATCAATATTTACAATTTAGTAAATACAAAGTCTTATAATTATAATAGCCTAACTAACCTAACAAGCAGTTTCTGCTACAAAAAGGAATGAATGTAATAATTCATAATAATAATTCCTAATAATTCCTATTTGTCCTTGTTTGATGAAGGAGTCGCCCTAATAAATGGGCTATGAGTGAAATAACTAACAAACTTAATAGTAAATCATATTAATTATTACCCACCCAGAATACTCACTGAAATTGTTAATTAGTCTTTGCTTTTATACAAAAGTAAAAAGAGTTCAACAAATTAAAAATAAGTCCGATTATGATTTAATCACTCGACACTCATCTTTTTGTGTCCTGTTGGTCCTTGCCAGATAAAGGAATGTTAAACTGATGATTCCTGTTTCTTCTTGTGTTCTGTCAATCCTTGCCACCAAGTCGTTTGTATAAAGATTTTACCAATTCCATGGTATCACCAAACACTGAAACGCTTGCATGGCATTTGTCTCCTTCGTCAGTGGCAGCCATAACAATAACTCTCCCACCATCTTTCCTCTCGTTGATAGAATTCGCTTTCTTCACCAATTGTTCACTTGTGCCATCGAAACTTGAAGATATTGCGAAAAAAGACTTTGAGAGGCCAAATTTCGCCATGCTTCCTGCGAGCATTAGATATGCTGTATTGCCATTAATACGCGGGTTTAAGTCGACCAGATAATCTCCACCAGGACTCGTAACTATGTCGATACCTACTACTCCAAAGAAGCCTTTCTCGTGTAGGTATTTGGCGACCGGCACCACAAATTTATCATAGAGTCGCTCCTTATACTGCTCTTGTTTGTCCCAGTCTATTGTTCCACCATCGTTTGAAAATTTATCCATAATGCAATCCTGAACTCCAATGTTGATAATGCGTCCAGATTTCGTCACGTAGAACCCACAGTCAAGTGTGCTTTGTACGTCTTGGATATATTCTGAAATGACGTAATCTGAATCCAATCCAAATCTATTCTTGACCATTTTCGAGGTTTTTTCAAATTCTTCACGATTTCGCGTCACATAGTTGCCCATACCACTGAGGCTCTGATCAATCTAAACATAATTACACAAGAAGGTATTAGGGAGGTTCAGATTATACTTTCGTAAAGCTATTGGCACATGGGGGAGTAAGTGGCACTGCTGCGTGGGACACGACGGAGGCAGAATGATGCTTCTATTGGGGAGTTGTAGCAACACTCTGGGGAGACGGCCATTCCCTAGCAAAGAGCCCAATTAAAATCAATTCAAAAGTGAGATGATAAAATAATGATGTTAAATAAGACATGCTATAATAAGATTGTGTAATAGGATGAATGTGATAAGTTAGGATAGATAGGGCTCAATTAGAATGAAGTGGAATAAGGAACGTCAAGGCAGTGAACTCAATTTATTTTACTCTACCTGGAACGATAACCACAGAATACAGACACATAGAAAGTCGACTCACCCAAAAAAAGCGTAACCGCTGCCACGCCATGATTCGTCATCAAAATGCTGACGCCATGGTCCTAGCCCATTGAACTATAAGTAAACGTGAACTATAAGTTTACTTATAGTTCAATGTCCTAGCCTGTGCGCTTATGAGAGGCATTCCCCCCTTGATGTCCGCCATTTTGAATATTATCAGGGGGGTGAATGCCTCTCATAAGCGCACTGGCTAGGACCATGGCGTCAGCATTTTGATGACGAATTACAATTACGTCAAAATCATAGGAAAAACCAAGAAGTCGGGCTTCTGTATAGTCTCTAGCCAGCAAAAGGGGCAATATATATTATGTTTTTGTTAATATGTTGTTTTAAATTTGCAAGTCTTTCTTCCGGGCCGGGCGAGAGAAGTACAGTATAGGTTGTAGAAAACATTAAATATAGCAAAAAGTCAAAAAGTCCATTCGCTCACTATATGTATTAGAATGGCCATTAAATGGTGAAGAGGATGATGATTTCAAAATAACTTTTGCCAACTTATCCATGGTGAAAGGCCAATTTAAAGCCAAAATGCGCCCTTTCAAACTCGAAAATTTTGATGAAAAAAATTTACACTTGCGACAGAAAAAATGGGAATATATATTAGTTTAGTCATTTTTGTCGATAATTAATATGAGACATTTATTGTCCATTAATCTAGCATTAGGACACTATAAATTTCATTAAAAAAAAGCAATTCTTATCTCTTGTATAAGGATGCTTTCCTATAAAACTTTCTGTAATTTTTTCTGCCATTTCTCGCTCCTTTTTTCTTTTCATTTTGAAAAATGAGCGCGCTCGCGCCAGCCCCATCCGCATCACACATGGATCAGCGGGTTTCCCCGCCCGTGTTTTATAGCGCCCTGGTCTCTTTATACGCCATCACCGCGCGGTCCATCGCCACGCCATGTAGTACGTCAATTTCAGTCCCCTTATACCCCATCACCGCGCAGTCTATCACGAATCAGCACGCGTCATCACGCTGGCGTTACACATGTAAAAACTCGCATCTTATAGCAAGTCTGCCAACAAGCCGTCAACAAGTTGTGTTCACACTGCTTGTCCCAAGTTGTCAACAAGTTTGTTACAAGCTGTTAACGATTTGTAACAACCTTGTTGATATTATCAGGCTTGTTGCAAAGTTGTTCCAACAAGTCCGATACAGTCATGATATAACAATATTGTTACAACCTTGTGTCATCAACCTTGTAACATTCTTGTTACATCATGACTGTAATATCAGACTTGTTAGAACAACTTTGCTACAAGTCTGATAATGCCATCAAGCTTGTTCCAAGTTGTTAACAGCTTGTTCCAAACTTGTTACAACAACTTGGAACAAGCAGTGCGAAGACAACTTGTGAACAGATTTGTAACAACGTGTTTGCAGCTTGCAACAACTGGTGCGTGAAGTGGCGTTGGCATTGACTTCACGTTTCTCCCGCATGTTATCGTTCCAGATAAAAGTCATGGAGTTCACTGGGTCAAAGTAGGATAAGTTTGTATAGGATAAAATTGGATATAGTAAGGTATTGTAGTAAGTTCTTTGTATGTTTGCATGGCGAAAAATATAATAGTTTTGTTTGTGGAAACACCACGTAAATTTATTACTGCAAAGCTTTCGATCCGTAAGCCCGGATATTCATCAGTGCTAATAATATGTGACTTGTTTAATTCACAAAAAAGCGTGTGAATTAAATATTATTAGCACTGATGAAGATCGGCTATTAGTAAAGCACGGAGCACACGGAGCACGGAGCACACGGAGTACGGAGCACACGAAGTACGGAGCAGTAGAAAAACGAAAATCCTTTATAATAAAATACACTGTTTACTATTACAATTTTTTGTTATTATTAACAAAGTTTTTTTCGCGTATTACACGTTGGGGGAGTAGGAAAATGGGGCTTTTACTGAAAAACACATATGATGCAAAACCAGGCTGCCAAAAGCCATAGTATTTAAAATGGGATTGTGAAACTCGTTATCTTAATCTATCAAGCTTATGTGGTTATATTATATTCCGATGGGCAACACATAAAGAAACACTTACTGTAGAGAACAGCCGATATACTTCGTTACCCCTGCCAAAAAATAGCCAAGTATACTCATCTTTCAATGTAGCGGATCGACTGAACATTAAATCTTGTGATGAGAAAAGTGAATTTTCGGTTTATCCTTCGGCTCAGTGACCGGTGGCAGTGCCAGTGAGCTGTACGGCCGGCTAAGTTTAAACCGTTATACAGTACATCATTACTGCTTTCATTCTTTCAATTCGTTTTGAATATTCGGAATCATTCACAATATTATAAAACTGTATAAGATAGCTGTAGAACTATAAATGCTGTAGAATGAAATAAATAAAGAAAAGTAAGTTTTCAAATCGCGGTATTTACCGATAAATCGGTAATCGCTACAGAAAAACAGAACAAATTACAGTATTAAAATCACAACAAACAGCGGAAGTGGGACAATTTTTGTATTTTTACTGTAAGACATGTAGAACATGTACGAAATCCATACAGAAGTGTGTGTGTATTCTATCCTTTTGAAACAACTAAATCAGACTTCGGAAAATTTGACCGTATTAAAGCTGCTTTTGGGAATTTAGATTTTAGGTCTTCGTTTTACATTACCCTGGTTCCAGAGGTTTATTTTTATTATTTTCATTGCGAAGGGGAGAGGAAAAATAGTTTTACATGTACCCAGACCAGTAAATATTTTTGAGTTTTGAATTTTGTGTATAAATCAACACCAACGCCTCAAAGGCGAAAAGGAGGGCAAAATTGTTAGAATTGCTATTGTAAACATGAGCAGTTTCGAGCATAAACATAATATTGAAACGAGTAATTTTTACACATCTGATTGACTAAATTCAGGAAGCCATTTAAGTGTACGCGTATTTGTTACAATTCCGATCAACTCTGCCGTGCAGCACGGCAGAGCCAGAGTAAATTGTAAACAAATTGTAAGCTTGTGAGAATCAGAGTTCAAAACTCACTGAAAATATTTACTGGGTACATGTAAAACAAAGACCTAAAATCTAAATTCTCAAAAGTAGCTTTAATACTGTCAAATTTTCCGAAGTCTGATTTAGTTGTTTCAAAAGTATAGAATACACACACGCTTCTGTATGGATTTCGTACATGTTCTGCATGTCTTACAGTAAAAATACAAAAATTGTCCCACTTCCGCGGTTTGTTGTGATTTACTGTAATTTGTTCTGTTTTTTTGTAGCGGTTACCGATTTATCGGCAAATACCGCGATAAAACGTAGTTTTCTTTATTTATTTTATTCTACACTGTCTACAGCGTTTATAGTTCTACAGCTATCTTATACAGTTTTATAATATAATAGTGAATGATTCCGAATATTCAAAACGGATTGAAAGAATGAAAGCAGTAATTATGTATAACGGTTTAAACCGGCGTAGGCCGTACAGCACACTGCTCACTGGTCACTCATGGGACGAAGGATAAACCGAAAATTCACTTCTCTCCATGACAAGCTTTTATAATGTTCAGTCGATCCGCTACATTGAAAGATGAGTACTTGGCTATTTTTTGGCAGGGGTAACGAAATATATCGGCTGTTCTCTAAGTGTTTCTTAATGCGTTGGCCATCGGAATATACTGATATAACTACATAACTCATAAGCTTGATAGATATGTGACGAGTTTCACAGGCACAATCCTATTTTAAATACTATGGCTTTTGGCAGTTTTGCATCATATGTGCAGTAAAAGCCACATTTTTCTACTTCCTCAACGTGTAAAACGCGAAAAAACTTTATTAATAAGAACAAAAATTTGTAATAAAAATTTGTAGTAAACAGTGTATTTTATTATAAAGGATTTTCGTTTTTCTACTGCTCCGTAGTTCGTGTGCTCCGTGCTCCGTGTGCTCCGTGCTCCGTGCTCCGTGTGCTCCGTACTCCGTGCTCCGTGTGCTCCGTGCTCCGTGTTTTACTAATAGCCATGAAGATCCGGGCTTACGGATCGAAAGCTTTGCAGTAATAAATTTACGTGGTGTTTCCACAAACAAAACTATTTAAGGTATGGTAGGTTTACTTGTTTTCTGGTATAATTACATGCACTGGATATAACTCAACACGTACCTTGATCATACAAGGAAATTCAATGTTATCTTCAGTGTAATATTTTGGATATGGTGCACCAGTTTCAGCAACTGCAACTTTCTTCAGAATGTTATAATGCATGTTTGTTTCGACCGCATGTTTTTCGTCGGGTATCGCTTCCAGTGGGAACAATGTGATAAGAGTATTTTTATCTGCTATTCCTTCATCAATAGTTTTCACCACAGGTTCAACAAAATGTGGGCACCATTCCTTCCAATGAGATGAGAGGAACTCACTTGGTAGTGTATGTACCAAGATAGGCAGTTCGTTACCAGCAACACAACAGTTGCGGAGGGGCACTAGGAAACGTTTCGAGTCGTTTGATTCCTTGGGAATGTTGAAAATTCTGTATTTGTTTTCATTTCTGAAACGAAATACTTTGTTGAAGGAGCTTGGATATACTGGGAGGATATAGGCATGTGGAAGATCTTGTTGAAATAGATTTCCAAAGGTAAATATGTCCTCTACGTTGTTGTTTTCTGTTATATGCGTGTCCATTGCTGAAATGAATAAATGATAATATCTCAGGGTTCTTAGGCGATAATTATTGCATAATTGTGTAACAGGAAATTGCACGGTTCGAGAACTATTTACATTGACTGTAATGAAAAATTGCACACATGTTTGGCGAAACTATTTGAGCGGTAATCTAAATATTGTGCCAAACACAACACATGGTTTTTCATTAATACTTCAAGAACTAGTGTAATTTTCTATTAATTTTAGTCACGTTTACACGAGTACTGAAAGACAAGAAAGACTGTCACACACTGTATTTTAAAAAGCAGTACAGTACGCGCCATAATTTGTGACATTAAACGGGCATACGAGACGGGGAGGGGGGCAACTGCCTCCCAAAAATTTTGGAAAACCATAGAAATTCGGGCAAATACTAGGAAAAATCAAGAAAATTCGGGCAGATTTATCAGAAAATAAGTTAAATTCGGGGGTTGAGAAAACGTGGACCCCCATTCTGGATCCCTTTCTGGCCCCATTCTGGACTTTTAAAAACAAAAAAAGACATAAGAAAACAATTACATACGCAGCTGTAAGCAGCCCCCCCCCCTCCCATCAAGTCTTATGGTCCGTCCCCAACCCACATTATATTTTGTTGAGATGGCTTCAGCAGTGACCCATAATTTGGCCACAATTAAGACATGGCTTATTCGCTATCATGAAATTGGAAGTCAATATTTGTCAACATTTTTGCTGTAAATGCAGCAGGATAAATTGCTGATTTAGAGCAACATGATTGACAATGTCATTACACAGTATTTTACAAGGTCACAAAAACAACATGCAGTTTGCTGAAAGTACTTGATGTCCCTACTCCCTATTCAAAAGAACACGAAACAAGAAAACCAGTGCAGTAATGCACCTATCAATGTTAAGCCCCAGAGGGGGAGGGGGGCATATATGGGGGATTTTGCTTTTTGTGCAAATTTTCGATCAAAAGCCCCACTGTGGGGCTGGAAATCGAAGTCAAATGTGATCAAATTCCCCACTGTGGGGTTGGAAATCTAAGTCAAAAGGGACAGGATTTTCAGCATATTTTGAAGCGCATTTCCTTGGAAATTGCCGTATTAGGATTTTTTAGAAATAAGACAATTTCCTTCACATTTCCTTCAATCTTCCGAAATTTCCTTCAGATTCGAATTTCCTTTCCTTCAAAATTAGTTAAAATTTCCTTCGAAAAGGAAATTTCCTTCAAAATGGAAGCGAAGTCATTCGTCCCAGGCTTTAAAACATGCTCTTCTTTGCGGTCGCAACTTCCAGTTTCAAATATTCACTACTGATCACTGAATTCAAATATCCCCACCCTCGGGACGAAAATAAGGATCAAATTCCCGAGGGTGGGGAGACAAAGATCGATCAAATCCCCCATATATGCCCACCCCCTCTGGGGCTTAACATTGATAGGTGTATAAGGTATTTCTAATTGGAATAACTATGTTGCCCTAGAGATTGGTGAAAAACCTGCCCGGCTTATTATCAAAATTACTTTTGCCATATTTCAAATATCCCTGGAAAACAAAAGAAAAAAGTCCTTGAAGGTCCTGGGTTTTTTAGCTTATGAAGGTATATGAACCTTGAAATCTAATGATTCTCATCATGACTCATGCGAATGATTGTAGATGACGCTGGTTCCACCCCGGGCAAGCGGGAAAATTGACCGTGGTGTGAATCGAAGTTTCTTATTCCAATGCTTTACTATGCAACTAAGATTTAGGATATAAAAAATATTTGGTATCCCCTGTTCAAGACATTAGAGAATTTAATTGGCAACCGGCAGAAAACAAAATTACTTACATATTAGTATGCAAGCCAAAGCATACATTATTAAACTTTGTTTTCCTCTTAAAAGTAATGATCTTTTTTTATTATAAATAGTCAGTGAATTCACATAAAACACCCCACATGATTCTGAACATTTTAACTGTTGGGCAGGCATAGTTATGAGCCGCAAAAATGATGTAAATAACGTAGCAGTTTTAACTACGTCTACGACATACTAAAATGCTCCAGGGCAATTTACAGTCGCCTTTGTCTTAATTAAAGTAAAAATTCTATTGTTGGTAATCACTTGCCGTTGCATGCCCTTGTCAGTTGTTATTAACTCACTAATATCTTAGTAGATAGATGAACAGTTGATGATATATTAATAATTCTAAATCATCGGTTGAGTTTAATTGCCACTTAAATCTTAAAAAATCATCCACCCGTTCAAGTGTTTATTGCACAGGTGAAACATTGTTCAAACATCGCTGACTCATCCCTAGTCGCTCATTCCACATTGAATGACAGGAATTGCCATGCGTCCTGTTGTTCGACCGAATGTTCACCTCATAGAAATTGAGAGCAAGTGATCCAATTGTTTCATCAGGATCAGAGATCAAACATAAAATATTCCACAATATTCCTTAAAATATTGCCATTTTTTTTAAAACTATGCGCCAGGATAATGATTGTTTCGCTACTTGCTATCTATCGTGAGTAGAGAATCAAATTACAGATTTGCAATAGTATACTAGTATGATTCTACTAAAGTCTATTACATGGTGTGAATTTCTCCTTTTATCTGAATTATTACAATTTTTCTTTCTTGGGGAAATATTTTCTAGGAATTCCTGTGGTTCCGATACTTTTTCCACCCCCTGCAGTGTAAGTTTAACACCCGCATTCTAAAAGCTCACTCACACTCAATGAGTGGAGGTTCAATCTAAGCTTCTCTTGAGCATCAATGCTGTTTTTGAATAGCAGGAGGGTGAGCAGTCACATAGGACACATAGTAACATATGGCACTACCCCTTGTTCTGTTTGAATACACACGTTTTTAAGACAGAGAATATAAAAACATATATTTGGCGCGAACGCATTGTATGACGTAATTACAAGACTTAAATAACATACGTCAGAATAACAAAACAAATATGTAACATCTCCCGTTGGAGATTAAACAAATATAAAGTTAATAAAGTTTGCGTGAATGAACGTTTATTTGTCTAGCTATATCTAGACGGTTTTCGAACGACTCGACCAGATCTTGTGACGATTTCGTTTGGTGGTTCTGGAGAACTGGGTCGAGTTGTCACTTGTAGATCATCATAATCAAAGTCATTCCGGATCTGGAATCTGTCCTTACACGGGATAAGGTGGCGGCGGTTGCGTCTCACAATGTTTCCTTTGTCATTAGTGAGCTTAAGCAAGTGACGTTTTTGACAACACGAACGGCATGAGTAACGTCAGAAGACTGGGTCAAGGGCTGTGATTGGTGAAAAACGTCAACTTTACTTCCGGTCGACGTCCGTGTTGTCAAAAACGTCAATTGCTTAAGGTGGCTCGATACAGTTTTCAAAATTCAGGTGTTCAACACTTTGAATTGTTCAAACTATGCATTTTTAGAATATATTCAGCAGATATTAGGTTTTTTATATATTTCGATATCTCTACTTTCAAATTATATTAGTTTTAGTAACAGATAGTTCGTTGCTATGACGACATACGTGTACAAAATACACTCCAAAATGGCCTTTCGTCTCGTATAGTTGGAAAAGAAGCATGGTGACCCCCAATTTTTTTTCTTGCATTATTGTGTACTTGGACGAAAAGCTAACAATTAGCAAAATATAAAAAAATTCTGTAATGCCATTTTTTTGGAAAATGCGAAAATGTCATATTCTTCGGTAAAATTTTTTTGGCATTACAGAATTTTTTTATTTTTTGTATAATGAAAGTTTTTAGCGGTGCAATACAGCATGCAAAATTTGAACATAGGTCACCAGACAAAATAAAGAGATATAGCGCATTGTTTTTCTAAAATGGAAAATTCTAATGACGTCAGCAATTGACATAAAACGCTATATAGAACACGCGAAATGACGTGAGATGGCGCGAGCAGCTGCTTACGTCAGGTAATTTTGGAAGTTCTGTCATTTTGTTAATCAGTTTCCGCGACCTGCGCGTAGAAATGGTCACCCGGTTTTGAGTTCGCGATTCTTGAGCAGGGTTTTCGTGATAACTATATCTGACTATATCGAGCCACCTTATATAAGCTCACTATTGAGGACACGATAGGACCGTGGCTCGGCACACTTCTCCACGACTTTACCAAGTTGATTCCATTTCTCATCTTCCTTCGCACGGATTCGAACAACAGTTCCTGGTTGGATATCAGGTAGATCTTTAGCGTGTTGATCATATCTTTCTTTTGTCTTCGCTCGGGTGTCTTTGGGAGGAGGGGGAGGAGGAAATGCAGGTTGGATTAGGGAAGGCAATGTGGAACGTGGTTGACGACCGAAGAGGCGCGCAGCTGGTGACTTGTTGTCGTTTCCAGGAGTGGTATTGAGGACTAACAAGGCAAGGTAAGGGTCCTTGTTGCCATCATGTGCTTTTTTCAAACTCTTCTTAACAGTTTGGATTGCTCTTTCCACGAAACCGTTGGACTGCGAAAAGTGAGGACTTGAAGTAGTGTGTTTAAAGTCCCATTCTTTGACAAACTGTTTGAAACATGCCGCTGTGTATTCTGGACCATTGTCGGAACAGAGCTCTTTAGGAATGGCGTGTCGAGTAAAAATCTTCTTAATTTTATTAACCACAGTGGCGCTCGATTTGTCGGTGAGTCGTTCAATTTCAATGTACTTTGAGAAATAGTCCGTAATGATAACGTAGTCATGTCCATAAAGGGAAAACAGGTCTGAGGCAACTTTTGTCCATGGTGCATTCGGAACCGTAGGTTGAATCAGAGTTTCCTTCTGTTGCTTGTTTCTGTAGGTTAGGCAAAGTGAACAGTTAGAAACAAGATCTTGGCTTGACTGTTTGAGGAATGTCACGTTGTTGTGGCCATCCTTTAAGAGTGTATTCCTTGAGTTGCTGTAATGTAGTGTCAGAGGCTGTCTCTTTCTGAAATTCAGTCAGGCGAGCATCGCTGATGGGAAGGTTGTCGAAAGTGAATTGGATACAGTGAATCAAATCAGGTTGATCAATTTCAGTTGATTGGTTGTTGAGGTAGGCCCTGCTGAGTGCATCTGAGACGACCATGGTTTTTCCAGGAGAATATTCAAGGTCGAAGTCATACTTTCGAAGCTTCATGAAGAAGCGCTGTATTCTTGGTGGACATTGAGTGATGGATTTACTGAAGATTGACTTGAGTGGTTGATGATCATTGAATACAGTGAAGTGATGACCGTAGAGGTACTCATGAAAGCGTTCCGTTCCAAATACAATCGAGAGGGTTTCTTTTTCGATTTGTGCATAGTTCCTTTCATATGGTAACAATGCTCTAGATGCATAGGCAATGGGGAACCATTGGGGAGAATCGTCTGAACCATGGTTTTGTTCAAGGAGGGCACCAAGACCATCAGCACTTGCGTCAGGTTTCAATCGAGTAGGCAGGTTTGGATCATAAAACTTGAGGCATGGAGGTGAAGTGACCAAACGTTTCAGCTCTTGGATGGCGTCCAGTTGTGGTTGCTGGAGGTCAAAATGAACATCTTTCTTGAGCATTTCACGAAGCGGAGTGGTGGTTTGAGAGAGGTTGGGGACAAATTTACCCAGATAATTCACCATACCCAAGAATCGTTGAAGATCACCTTTCGATTCAGGAATTGGCATGTTGACGATTGCTTCAACTTTGGAGAGATCAGGCTTAACACCATTAGCAGAAAGGGTGTGTCCCAGAAATGTGAGGGATTCTACGGCAAAGACACATTTGCTTCGGTTGAGCTTCAATCCACTGACTCGGATACGTGTCAGTAATTACAAGACTTAAATAACATATGTCAGAATAACAAAACAAATATGTAACACCCCTCCAGCTATTCAAAAGCAGCATTGACGCTCAAGAGAAGCTCAGATTGAACCTCCACTCATTGAGTGTGAGTGAGCTTTTAGAATACGGGCATAAGTGTTCAGCCAAGCAAAGCAAATAACAAAGTTCAAAAGAGGGCAAGGTTCTGCAGGGTGTATAAAAAAAATGTACACCCTTGCATATTCAAATTAGCCATACATAACGTTGCTCTGCAGTATTTAAGCTGGCCATTTTACATCTTTAATATGCAGACTTGAATAATGCTTAATTTAAACATTTTTCTTTCAGTTGTATATTTGTTCATACAATTAGAAGTTACCCTAAATTTGAATTTATGCACCCTGTGAGCTTGCAACCAGGGTACCTGTGAGCTGCATCACTTAATTAATAATGATCATTTTCAAATGCCAACCCCCTCTGCACATAGTTAATATGTATCTGTCTATCAGCAGGACAACTTAAAAAAATATCAAAGGTACTAATACGAAAATTTGTGCGACTAATGGAATTGCTGACAAGGGCAAACTGATTAAATTTTGGTTAAATTTGGATAAACAGTGGATGAGAATTAGCAAAAGCTTGTCTTGCTTTGCTGGACAGAGTAAACAGAATGCGTAATTAGCCCAGTGTTTATGTTATTATGTATGATATAATTCACACAACTTATTAAAAAATACCTTTTGAAATCCAAGCGGTTCAAGCCTTTGTTGGAATTTGAATGCCTTATTATTATGATGAACACATGGGGGCGTATAAAACAGAATAGAAGTGTATAATTTACTAATTAGTCATTTATGCAGGTATGCACTTATGCTATATTTAACCTATTTTACTGTAAATTCCCAGGAGTACAAAATCTTGTACTTGACAGGAATAGAGTTATTTATTAAGGCTCGTTTTCCAATACACCAATACAAGTCCAGTTTTCGACTTGTGGGCAAGTCTACAATACAGGGTGTATTTTACGCTTCCATGGGTTAAGCATCAATTCAAAATATTACAGTAGTCAGTAGGAAATTTCAGCTTGTGACTCGTCATGTGCGCTTGACATTTGTGTTGTCGGGCGTCTAAGCGTCTTGTCGAAAACAAGTAATCTGCGTATATCAAAACGCCTGAGGCGACAACCGTCACAAGCCGATATACACTGTTTGTTCAGTCCTCGAGGAATGATTCAGAGTGATGCTAAAGAAGTTTCAGATGAACCCTGATCAAAAAACACTTGACCAGTGTCTCGAGACATTAGCTCGCGTGAATGCAATTCGACCGGGTTTTGCATTAATTTACTTTGAAACCAAAGGCCGAGCGAGCGAAAAATATATGTATTGCTTAATACATTGGCTTTGTTGGGAGTAATGTTTGCGCTTTGTCGATCATAGTTAATAGGCAAAGTTTCAATCCATAAGATAAGATTTTAATATCATTACAACGATAAATATATTTGTGCGTACTTTGAAGCCCAAAAGACAAAGTGCAACTTTTATTAACGCTAACGGTAATATATTATATTTTCCTTGGTTACCCACTTAATATTAGGATTGTGTAATGCTGTTCGAAGTATTTACTCTTTGATTTTGATCGACATATATAAATGCATTGAATATTTGTACGAAAAAGTTCTAATTGACCTTACCTTGCTTTAGTCTTGCTTCGAGTTCGATTTCACTTCAAGTTACAATTAAAGACGAAACGAACGTTCGAATAGGAGATATACAGAGATGTAGTGCCGACTGCCGAGTATTTTAATATACGACACTGTATTTGGTGATATGAAAAATTAATACGAAGTGTAGCGAAGCGTACGAACTAAACAAAGAAAACGCTGATATTAAAGCTGCCAGGTGGTCATCAGCATAATATCACTGTGACAGCAATGCTAGGCTGAAAACCGCTACAACAATGGTAGCTTTCCGTCTTGAATATGAGCTCTGTGATATGATGAGGCTCCTTCGCTACACACGCGGTATTGGAATGAAAACGGAAAAGTGGAAAGTGGAAACCATAACTGTCGAGTCATAAGCACAGGAAATATGACATGAAATGACGTCATATACTGTAAAGGAGGGGAAATTGCTACTTCAAAATAAGGCCCCGTTTACACTATACCGGATTCGCTCGTCACGCCATCATCTTCTGCCGTTAAGGAGCAATAGTTAGTAGCAAATGCTTATTAGTTTGACAGAATTGGCATGTTTATTTGGGTCTCTGAGATTAAAAATCTTCACAGCCTTTCAATACCTACAAAATTTGACCCCCTCCGATAGCAATCCGATATAGCGTAAACGGGGCCCTAAGCTCACAACATCCGCAAACGGCGTAGCCTGCGTAACAGGCGCTATTTAGGGGGGGAGGGCGAGAAGCTGGGGGGGGGGGATGCGAAGGCGAGAGAAAGAGAGCCGGCGCTGAGATTTTTTCCTCGCGAGGTGAAATATATCAAACACGATAGATATTTTCCTCAAGGCCTTGAGAGGTCAAATCCTCACGAAAACTACCCGCACACGAGAGCAACTTGCTGAGCTAGCTGCCACGCGAGGCGGTTATCTCAGCAAGTTGCTCTCATGTGCGGCAGGCTTAATGTGCCTTTTCTACTATATTAACTATGGATTTAAGGGACCGGTCATAAAGTAACTGCTAGGGTGGGCTGGAGTGATTTGGGATGGGCCATGGAAAATCTTAATTTGGGCAGTTTCGATGGGCCGCCAATTTTTTTGTATGTCCACGGTTGGGCCACCAAACAAAAGCCCATGTTAATTATATATTATATAAAGATATTAATAATCGAAAAGTAAACAAAACTATCCAAATTATCAAATGCAAATGATGCTATTGAAGCCAGTACTTTGTTTTATACAACAACAAGAAGTGGTCGAATCACAGCAAATACAACCAAATGGAGAACAGCTCAGTATCGTAATGGACCTTTCCCCTTATAACTAAAATTTCGATCTAGACAAAAAATTCATCACAGCTTGAAAGAGCATCACAAAATTAGTAATATTCCAAAGTTTTGTTGCAAAATCTTGTAAAATGCGGATAATATAGCCTTGCGAAGTTTGCCGTTTTTCAGTCATTTTGTATTACAAACGGGAAATTGACATCCGATTCGGGTGTTGGGGCTGCAATTTCCCGTTTGTAATGCAAAATGACTGAAAATTGCAAACTTTGCAAGGCTCTATTTTCCTCATTTTACAACATTTCGCAACGAAACTTTGGAATATTACTAATTTTGTGATGCTCTTTCAAGCTGTGATGAAATAATTGTCTAGACTTGCCTAGATGAAAATTTTGGTTATAAGGGGAAATTAAGGTCTATTGGTGATGAATGTGTTGGTCAAGCTTGGTAGAATTATGTACAGTGTATGTCAATACAGTGCCGGTGTATATTTACAATGTTCATACATGCATGCAAGGTTTTTTTTATTATAAAAGTGTATTTTCCCAATTTGGATTGGGTGGGTGGGTCATGAAATAAATTTGGTAAGATTAGATGGGCTTTGAAATTTTTATCTACTTCCTAAGATGGGTCACCAAATTTATTGGCAAAATTTGTGATTTACCTCCAGCCCACCCTAGCAGTTACTTTATGACCAGTCCCTAAAACAAGTCCAAAATTACGACTCGAGCCGAAGTTGCCTGACTTGACTTGAGTCTATAAGATGCTGATTACATGGGGAGTTTTCAGCCCGGGCTGAAATTGTTTCAAAATCATCATGGCAAAGTTCATCCGGGGATGAGTTAGAATTTCAGTTCAAATTGGTGTAAAATCTCGGCCCAAGCTGAAATGATCAAGTCTCAAAATGGAGCTATTCCGCTGCTTCGAAGAATTTAAAATGTTGTTCATGTCTATTATTTGCCGTCCTGCGAGACTGTGATTACATTTAAAAATATAAATTTCAGCCCGGGAAACCGGGATAAAACTCAGCCCGGGCCGAGAACTCTCCATGGTAATATGGTATCAGCCCCTAACTCTGAGCATATTAGGATCGGTAGGATACGTATAGTTGATATGAAGGCCGTCTAAAATCTCTGCAGTTCGGCCCTCCTATCTGGTCAGTCTTGCTTACCTGAAATTGTTGAAATGTTTGACGACCCATGACTTCACGAGATATTTTTCGATAAGCACTATAAAAACCCAACAAAAATGTTATTAACCATACAACGAACAGCCGATCCAATGGCCAATATTTGATATGGGGAGTGTCTAACATGCGGAGGGTTTAAATAGCATTGACTACGTGAGGAAGTTTTCGTGCATTCCGTGTTTCGTGCAAGGGGGTGCTTGAAAATAGGAACAGTTTTTGAAAAGGCATTACGACATTCACCTTCTAGCTTGCGAACACAAACGTCAAGAAGACGGCTTTTTTGCGAACCTACGCCTCAAGAAGACGTAGCTCAAAGACGTCTAGTTTGCGAACTCAAACGTCAACATGTAGCTTTATAGCGGAAGAGATTACTTCGCTGGCCTCAGAGTGACAAAACGTAACAAAGCAACGGTTTTACTAACACTAACCCTTCTCCAAACACCAACTCTAACCCTAACCTTAATCCTTACCCTAACCCTAACCTAACCCTATGCCAAATTTGTTTCTAAACCAATCTTGAAGAAAAAAGTTTTGCCGAAATGTCATTCTGAGGTCAGCGAAATAGTATTTACCCTTTATAGCCCGAGGGCAAGGCTATAGTTTCCGGTTAAGCGTTTTTTTTTTTAAACAGTGGCAATTGATACACCAGGCGGAAATCTTAGTTTAAAGATAAAGAGCAGAGCCCAGCAAATAACTTTAAATCCAAACATAATAAAAGTAAAAAATTTATTAGCTAACGTTTCGTTGTTTAATATACGTATGCGCACGGAAACGTTTCTTTCTAGATTTTATTTTTGTACTATAATTACGTCAACAAATACAATACTAAAATGCTGTGCTTTTATCCGTTTAATTATTTCATAAGACACTTTTAAATGGATTTAAACTTTTCCCTGCGCGTGTATACGCACGTATACGAGACTCTTGAATGGAAAGAGACCTTCATAACTAAACACTCGAAGTATTTGCATGGAAATTATAATGCAAATACTGTAAGTGCATGAGCCAAGTCAAGCCCAAGATATAATTGTGATACATTTATATATACTTTTTTTTTTCTGTGTTGGTGTAGTGTACTCATGTGAATATGATGCTTGTGATGTTACTCTGAGTGTATATCCGCACCGGGCAAGCTTATCACATACTCGAACCGACCTGACCGCGTAGCTCTGTTGGCAGAGCATTGGGCTAGTATTCCAAAGGTCGTAGGTTCGATTCCCACCGTGGACAGGCATATTTTGCAAGCTTGCCCGGTGTGGATATACACTCAGAGTAACATATCACAAGCTTTATATATACTGTTCACAACATTGAACTGGCGGAGAGGGTAAAGTAATGCAAAATTGTTGTAGCTTAGTTTTGGAATCAGTGATCAGTCAATAAACGTAGTTATATCACACTTGCGTCGGTTTTCTTTGTTCGTCCGAGGTTTATAACTAGCTTATAGACCTTGAATAAATGATTGGATTAAACTTGTAGACAAAACGCGAGAATTTTTCATTAAAAATTTTTGAAAATGACGAAATATGTTGGAAAACCTCCGCAAGTGTGATATAAGTTAGAGTTATAAACCGAGTAGGAGGTTTATAACTGATATATTGCCCCTCGGACGCTACGCGTCCTCGGGGTCAATATATCAGTTATAAACCTCCTGCTCGGTTTATAACTCTAACTTATATAAACGAGATTATAATATAGTATTTGTAAATTCTGAACGCTGATTGGCTAAGAGCCGTGTTGATATATAAACTCAATGTCAACCCGGAAAATTTTTTCCTTTATATTTGTTCGTGCATGCTATATTATAAAAATACAAAACATTTTTCCGTATTGATATACAGTTATATCACGAGTGTTGATATAATTACATTTTGTGTTTCAAAAAAACAGTATAGCACTGCTCGAATAAATAAGAGCTATATGTGAGTGTACGGGAAGTTTTGGGGGTCTACAACATTGTACTGTGTATATGTATATTTATAAATAGTTGGAGTGTTTTATATATGATGTAACACACGCCTCTGTTGTTTGCAATCACGTGACTTTTCATCCAAATGACGGGCAATCAGTCAACTTGTGGACGATTTTTCTCCTATCAGAACGGTAAATTGTAGCAAGAAAATCTGAACGATACTTCATCTTTTGAGTCTTAAACTGTCTCCTAAACTCGATCAATCCATTAAAATAGCAGGTTTTTTGTTATCCCAAAATTACGTTATTGCAAACAAAGAATACTTTCGGTACGTATAAGTACGCGAATTATCGCCCCTGAATAAACGTATACGGTTATATAAACGTATATGACGCATACCAGGAATACAGTTGGCATTGACGTTAAGACAGCACGTTTCAAGGCAAACTATTGATGTCCATTGAGTTATTTTTAAATCACATACAAAGGTTCCTTGTTTAAAGCTTGGCAAAACTCGAGGCTTTGAAGATCCGTTTCTTATATACACATAGATTCCTGTAATTCAATTAATTCCGAAGAAGACTCGAAGAATCGAGTCAAAAGCTCATTATAGAAGTAATTTTTCAGTCCAGAGAACTTCTATAGCCTATACTCAAAACAGAACACTGTTCTCTCAGAAACTTTGATAGTGTATTAAAAACCAGTCTATTATGGAATGCGAATGTTTTGTATTACTGCATGCATCTAGGAAGTCATTAATGAAGTTTACCAATTTACTTCGTTTTAGTTGAGAAAAAGGTAAAGCATTTGCAGTAAATCAGAACGAAATCTTTATCCGATTTACAGATATTGATAAAACACTTAAAGCATTTGCAGTAAATCAGAACGAAATCTTTATCCGATTTACAGATATTGATAAAACACTTATTCCTCTTGAATTTTATTATTTATTTATTTTAATTAATGATATCTCAGATAAACTTATTGAAGAATAAAATAAATACAATACATATATGATATAAAACCAAGAATTTACATACACCAATCAATCTCACACTAACAATTTACGATTATTAATTTCGCCTATTTGAAGCAGGATAATTGCTATAAGGCCACAGCTGTCTCCCATGCAAGTTCAACATTGTTTAGACAAACGGTTACTGACTAACATATTGATGATTATTTCGTCTGTAATCTGTTTGAAATGCAATCTTTTCCTTTATAACGTCCATATTAGCCAAGGTGTTGTACTTCATCAGTTCATGAAGTCGGTTAAACTGTTTCTCCTCGTATTCGAATTTGTAGGATGAGTAGGGGTCTTCAGGGTCATCAAAGATTGCAAAGTTTCCAAATTCTTTATCCTCTTCTGTCACTCGCGGTACCCCTGAAATGCGAAATAGATAGAACATGTTATGAAATGGATAATAGGTTTCGAAATTGAAAAATCATGTATATTTGTAAGATTATTTTCATTCAGAGTAAATATATAAATATAAATATAAATATATATATATATATATATATATATATATATATATATATATATATATATATATATATATATATATATATATATATATATATATATATATATATATATATATATATATATATATATATATATATATATATATATATTGAATATTATAACTGTCTATATATAAGGGGGCCCTGACTACCTAACTTCATATCTGTGTAGGAAATTCCAGTTTTTAGTTAATGCTTGCAGGGGATGATGGGAAGAAAGGTATCATAGTGCTGATTATGCTGAAAAATTTCAATAAAAACTACCGAAACAACCGAAATATTTCAATATTTACAAGTATAAGCTATCACTCCGTGTTTACACGGCCACCATTTTTATTTTTTCAGCATAATCAGCAATGTGATACCTTATTTCCCATCGTCCCCTGCACGCATAAACTAAAAGCTGGAATTGCGTATTCGATATGCAGTTTTATTATATGGTAAGGTAGTCCATTTGCAAAATGGAGCATTTTCATTGGTTCAGAGGGTTTAAAATAATTTAAATTTAGATATATTTGTAGGCTGTTTGTGAGGTGCACTTTTTGTCAGGCTCTGATAAGTTGAACATGAAATGATGATGCAGAAAATACCATCATGTATAAAAGCTGCATCAAAATAGAAAACGCAATGCGCAGCAATAGTCAGCTTTTTAAATATCAAAAAATATTTTCCAAAATATTTTCAAAAAGTCATTTCAAAAATCGTAACATGAAAGTCAATGCCCGGCATAATAGGTAATTAAATAAACCATCACAAAATTAAATTTTGAAATATTTACTAAGAACGTCCATGGCTCTTTCATGCTTTATCCTGGGGCATTGATTTTCATCCTATACAGTTACGATTTCCGCCTTGTTCACGGCTACCAGAAATTCATTGTTTAATACCAGATTCATGGCTATCAAAATGCTTAACGCGATCTATTATGACAAGACAGCATCTTTTTCATTTAAAACCTACAAATTCGTTGTATAAATCAATGAACTAAGAAGAAAAACTCGTTGTTGGTAATTTAGAAGTTGCTGGCTAGTGCTGTAAAAATGCCGTTTACTGCAAGCAGTACGTACCGCTCACTGATCTCATAGAAAAGCATTTCTATTACTTGTGGAGTTATGACTCCAGTTATACAGTACATAAAGCTCAGTAGACAGGAGTAATGCGTCTTACCTGGTGCACTAAAGTCTTTGAATGTTTTGTTGGTAAGAGGAAAATGTAAAATTGTTGAGCACTTGGGATTTGACTGATCTTCAAATACATAACATTCTTCAATGTCAGAATTTTCCAAGATTGGGTTCCCGTCGATTTGCGGAAACGGGAGCCCGTGCTCCTTTGCCCAGCGTTCAGCCCTCAAAAGGTTCTGAGTTAATATAAAGTAAAAGAGTGAACTTTGAGCTTTACCCCCCGGACTTGCAAAAACCAAGTGGAAAGCCTTAACAATTATGTAGCTCAGTATTAAACACTCAGTAAGTTTTTTCAAACATTTCTTACAAATCCTTCAAAACTTAGAATTTACCAATGCAAAATTCCTACTGTGATCACAGAAACTTTGATAGTGTAAACCATCCTTTATAACAGTCAGTAAGTTTCCTCAAACATTTCTTACAAATCATTCAAAACTTAGAATTTACCAATGCAAAATTCCTGCTGTAATCACAGAAACTTTGATAGTGTAAACCATCCTTTATAACACTCAGTAAGTTTCCTCAAACATTTCTTACAAATCCTTCAAAACTTAGAATTTACCAATGCAAAATTCCTACTGTGATCACAGAAACTTTGATAGTGTAAACCATCCTTTATAACACTCAGTAAGTTCCCTCAAACATTTCTTACAAATCCTTCAAAACTTAGAATTTACCCATGCAAAATTCCTACTGTGATCACAGAAACTTTGATAGTGTAAACCATCCTTTATAACACTCAGTAAGTTCCCTCAAACATTTCTTACAAATCTTTCAAAACTTAGAATTTACCTTTGCAAAATTCCTACTGTGATCACAGAAACTTTGATAGTATAAACCATCCTTTATAACACTCAGTAAGTTTCCTCAAATATTTCTTACAAATCCTTCAAAACTTAGAATTTACCTTTGCAAAATTCCTACTGTGATCACAGAAACTTTGATAGTGTAAACCATCCTTTATAACATTCAGTAAGTTTCCTCAAACATTTCTTACAAATCATTCAAAACTTAGAATTTACCAATGCAAAATTCCTACTGTGATCACAGAAACTTTGATAGTGTAAACCAGGCCTACGTTATGTACTTACTTTGAAAGGCAATTCTGTATCGCCACTATCTTTTCGACTGAAATCAAATGACAGGATTATTTCAACTTTCCGTTCAGGGCGTAACATGGTAGGAAAAGGAGAATTGAAGGCGAGACCGCTGTCCACCAAGCACATCGTCTTGTGATTGCCTGGTGCCTGGTTGTATTCACAGTCTAAAAAATGAGACAGAAACTTTTATAAGCATTATTACCGACAAAAAGACCAAAGTGTACCACTACCCCCTCAAATATGAGGATTGGTATGTGTAATATTTGGGTCATTCCAATAAGAAATGTAACTAATGTATATAGTAAAAAATCAAATTTACTATATTTATATTGCAGTCCTATATCAGTTCTAAATTGTTCTCCCTAGACGTCTATACTGACGAGCCAGTGTCATTACAGGAGGAAATATTGGAAAAATTCCATTACACTTTATTTATACTGAATAGCTTTATTTGTACTTTGTAGTAAACTGGTCATTTCTTATTGGTCAGGTGTTACTCCGGAAAGAATTCTAAATTAAAATAACTTATTTTTATGGGCTATTTCTAATTGGTATACAGTGTTACCACAAACAAACAAACAAACAAACAAACAAACAAACAAACAAACAAACAAACAAACAAACAAACAAACAAACAAACAAGCAAACAAGCAAACAAACAAACAAACAAACAAACAAACAAACAAACAAACAAACAAACAAACAAACAAACAAACAAACAAACAAACAAACAAACAAACAAACAAACAAACAAACAAACAAACAAACAAACAAACAAACAAACAAACAAACAAACAAACAAACAAACAAACAAACAAACAAACAAAACCAAGCATTAAGCTCCAAACAAAACAAAAGAACATCAACAACGCCTATACCTTGTTCTTTCTTGAATTCCAGTCCTCGCAAAATGTTAAACACCTCAGCAGCTTTTCCTCGACGAGATGAAAGGAGATTTCCAGGCGTGATTGCTTGAGTTATCCAAGATCCCCCTGCTGCAAAAACAAAATGTTGCTGATTAAAACGAAAACAATCAAAGACTTTGTGTACAAATCAGCTTGTGGATTTCAATATAGACTTTTGAACTTCGGAGCGAAGTTTGGAACATTGTGGCAAATGTTTTTTTTTTCTTTTTCTTTTTGGGAACTCAGGTGATAGTCTATCGAAGAGAAGATGGCTGTGAAACTCATTAGAATAACAATAACTCATTATCCATGTTAGTAAAGTTTATTCATAAATCTGGTCCTTCACCGTCACGTGTGTATTCTTGCCCAATTAACCAATAGCAATGTTTTGCAAAGTTACCTGTCCGTGACTCGAACAATAGGGTAAATTTACGCACGTGACGGTAAAGGACCAGATTCATATAGATAATGAGTTATATTGTTATTCTAATGAATTTCACAGCCGTTTTCCCTTCGACAGGATATGCCCAGGTTTAGGGCTCAAAATTGTCTGCAAAAGATTACAATATATATAGAGAAAATAACAGAACTGTCTTTTGTGATTGTATTTTTTACTTTACATGGATTATGTTCATTAAAGTTTGGTTTTTATAGGGTCGTAACGGTCGTAGAGATTGAGTCACGATCTTTCTCATCATAGGCGTACGGGGCGGGGTCAAGTCGGGCAAATTATAAACGTAATTCGGGAAACAATTAAGGGAAATAACTTTAAAAAGGAGACATATGCAATATAGTATTTGAAAATACCAGATATATGTAAAAGTAACGTGGAAATTCGACAAATAGAAAAAGTTTTTTCGTCGACCTTCCCCCCCCCCAAAAAAAAATCTTGGAAAGTTTACACAATGGGAAAAGTCGGGTAAATTTCTTTCTCCCCCCATGATTTTTCCCTCCCGCACGCCTATGCTCCCCCCTGATTTTTCCCTCCCGCACGCCTATGTTTCTCATCAGCCGAAATACAACATTTTAGAACTGAAAATACGCGGAGTGATTATAACTATAGAGAATACTTATGATTTATATGGGGTTTACAGGTATAAACTATTATAAACTGGCCGTTGGGAAGATCGTGACTCTATTTTCACGACCATCTCGTTGGAAACAAGGCTTAAGACATACAAAATAAATTCCAAAGAAGTCATAGTAGTTTCAGTCTTACAGGATTAAAAACAAATTTCCCACTGCAGGCTATATGAATATTTTCGTTCCAAACTGTTTCGCTGTAATTTATGTATTGGGTAAGTAGATTCATTTTGTATTCGATCATTTCAATAATCAGGGGCCGGATGTATAAAACTCTTAATCACTTTTTAATCACTATTTTGTAGTTAAATAGTGATTAACTCTCAAATAAGCGCTTCTTATTGGATGACATTTCCACTTAACTATGATTAACTTTAATCACTTTTTTATACAACCGGCCTCAGGTATTTAGTAATTCATATATTCAATCAGTGTAAGTTTCAGAATATACAATTACTTTATGGTTTTCGTGTTTGGATGGCCTGATCCAAAAACGCGGGAATGTTGCGAGAGTTAAGAAAAGCGCCCCGAATCACGAGCCGAAGGCGAGTGATTTTGCGCGCTTTTCTTAACTCGAGCAACATTCCCAAGTGTTTGGATCAGGCCATCAAAACACAGAAACCATAAAGTAATTGTTTTTATAACATAACAACTCTCCGTGCTAAAATTTCACTTTAAAAAACTTTCACGTTAAATTTCCGTGTTTGAATGGCCTGATCCAAACACGGGATTCGACCAATCAGAGCACGCGTTATATACATGTTATTTTATAATTAGTTTTATAATATAGCATTTGTAAATTCTGAACGCTGATTGGCTAAGAGCCGTGTTGATATAACTCCATGTCAACACGGGAAATTTTCCGCCGCTTGTAAACACGGAAATTTTTCTTATTCTTCGGGCTTTTGACATTGCTATATTATAAAACAAATATAAAACATTTTTCCGTATTGATATATAGTTATATCAACACTCGTGGAAGTTGGGAAAACTCGAAATTGTGTGAAAACACTCGCCCTTTCCACACAATTTCTCGTTTTCCCAATTTCCACTCGTGTTGATATAACTGTATATCAACACGGAAAATGTTTTATATTTGTTAAATCAAACATCAAGAAACATCTGTGAAAAATTCGGCAAAAATGTAGATCCCCCCAAAATTTGTGGGAACAAGACATATCATACCGTCCACTTTATCTTCAGGTGATCCGTCTTCCTCGTCCTCACTATCGTCATCTTCAGTCTTACATTGACCTGCTGCTTCAAGAGCGACTTTCTCTGTAATGCAAACAAAAATAGGTATTTGACTTCAGAAAACGCCACGAGAGCTGTATAATATAACAAGTACGATCGTACTATAGGAGGGGGTACTGGCCGAGTATGTCAGCATGCAAGTTATCACTTCGTCAGTGCTGCCTAAAATTACTTTGAATTTGTACTCGAGTAAAAGTAGAAGTAACAGGGTCCCCACCTTCTAGTGAAGATGAAATTCAAGGACTTTTCTAGGCCTTTCAAGGACCTTTTTCAGTATATTCAAGGACCTGGCAACTGGAAAAATCTTTGAAAATCATCTAACTTTTATCCTTAAACTTAAGGAGAGGAATGCAATTAGAAAAAAAATGACATCGAAACAACTTTTGGACAATTGTTATACATAATTTTAATTGAAATTGGAGAAAATAAACATTTGGGCAATAATCCTTGGGCTGGTAATAATTCTTCAATTATTTCCAGCCTACTGAAAAAAAATTCCAGGACTTTCAAGGACCTTATCAGTTTCCAAGGACTTTCCAGGCCTGGATTTTTTTAAACAAATTCAAGGACTTTCCAGGATTTTCAAGGACCGTAATTAACAATAAAACGACTTGAGCAAGAGTAAAAAGTACTGGAGACAAAACGTACTTAAGTAAAAAGTACAAAGTATCCTTAAAAAATACTTGATGTAAAAAGTAAAAGTAAAACTACTATTGTCTGTAGCGTGTAGGGGTGGAGGACTTTTCCAATGGATTGACATACAAAAGACACAAAACAGTACACGCATTATACGCGTGCACCAAATATACAATATTTCACGGCATGGTCTACAGTACTTTCTAGACCCCGTTGAAGATAAGAAATCCATTAAATAAATAATTCTTATAAGTAAGTAAGAAACGAGAGATCCCAGACGCATATACAGAGGTCTTATTACCTATCCCAAAATTGAAATAAATCACGTAAAATTAAACAAAAGTTAGGCCCGTTTCAGACGGCGTACTTCTCATGTGCCGAACTTAATTGATGAATTAGGTACGGCAGAAGAGCGACGTACGAATCAATTAAGTACGGCAGAATTTGGAGCGGCAAAAGTTCGACACAAGTTCGGCAGAGCTTGTCGCATTATGCGACGTTGGAGCGACATTGATTCATACGCCGCTCCACTCATGTGCCAAACTTAACTCAACTTTAGTCTAAAAATAAACTTATTTATTTTGAATTTTATTTAAGTTTCGCTAGCGAATGCGCCCCGACCTTGTCAATAACATTGTATTTGGTACGCCGTTTGAATCACTGCCGTTCTTGTGTCGAATCTTAGAAAGTAACAAAATACTTCGCCACAGAATGAAAATAACGAAGTAAAATGTTACTTCTTAAAACGACTGCGTTCCAAGTAACAGTACTCCAGAAAAAGTTTACTTTGTTACATGCTCACTTCTCAAAAATAGTACTCAAGTACAGTAACGAAGTACATTTACTTCGTTACTTGATACCACTGCACTTCGTTGATCCATCGTTGTAGAACTCAAACTTTTGCATTGTTTCAAACCCTTAATGTTGGTTCGGCGAGGCATTTTAAAAATATGTGCACGTGTAAAAGGGCCTTTAGGCTTTTTTCGAAGAGCGTCGCCCCTTAACAACACGACTAGTCGCAATTAGGGACCAGTTCCTGGTCCAAAAATCCTAATAAGCCAGAAAAATATTTACCAAATTCCTTTTGGACTTCATTTTCAGACTGAGCCTTCACGGTAAGATCTTCATTTTCAGACTCATCCTTCTTGCCAAGCTGCGTTGCTAAGATCGCAGCAAACGCACTTCCCCATACCCCTAGAGTGATAAGTTACAACCATTAGTTAAATAAGTTGTGGAAAGAGATTATAAAGTGTTATTATATGGCAAGCATCACTTCCAGTGAAATGCAATGGCGGACTGTGATTGGTTGGGACGCACATTGGTCCATTACGTGAAAACAAAACAGCAAAACTAATGGACCATTTGCATTATAGACTAAATTTTGATCTAGACAAAAATTTCATCATAGCTTGAAAGAGCATCACAAAATTAGTAATATTCCAAAGTTTCGTTGCAAAATGTTGTAAAATGCGGATAATATAGCCTTGCGAAATTTGCAATTTTCAGTCATTTTGTATTACAAACGGGAAATTGATGCCCCAACACCCGATTGGGCTGTCAATTCCCCGTGCGTAATACAAAATGACTGAAAAACGGCAAACTTCGCGTGGCCATATTATCCGCATTTTACAACATTTTGCAACGAAACTTTGGAATATTACTAATTTTGTGATGCTCTTTCAAGCTGTGGATGAAATTTTTGTCTAGACCAAAATTTAGTCTATAATGCAAATGGTCCATTGAAAATTATAATTTAATTTGTTATTAATAAGATATCTGCGAATGGTTTTAGTGGAAAAGAAGGAATACATTGGTATTTTTTGTTTTCTTCAACCAAATGTGTACAACGCTGCTAATATGCATTTTAAATCGTGCACTTCTTGTTTGTTTCAAGTATAAATGCCATATAATAAACTTTTTACTAACCTCGCTTGCTCGGTATGTACAGAGAAATATCGGACCTCGGTCTTTTTGTACAAACCTCGCCCTACGGGCTCGATCTGTACAAAAAAGACCTCGGTCCGATATTTCTCTGTACAGACCTCGCGTTCGGTTAATAAGAAGTTAATAAATAACATACGATTGCATCACATTATAAAGACTGTGGCTTGATAGCGGTTTGCTAGTTGCTGTTAAAATGCAGTTCAGGCTTCGTACACCTTCATAATTAAAAAAATGCAGGGTCTTTTTTCATCCTTTTTCCAGGGCTTTTCCAGGAAGTGTTTAACTGACCGTTAAGAAACGTTCGCGACTTTGGGTTTGAACCAGTTTGAACGAAACGTCACGCCGTCGCCTGATATGCCCAAGAAATGCTGCGTTAAATACTTTAGGTATGATCCCACACCCAGCTCAGTCTCTAAGTTTTCCAGAGATAAATTTGAAATTCCAGGGTTTTCACGGGTTTTCAGGACAAAAATAAAAATCCAGGGTTTTCCAGGACTTCCTGACAGTTTAAAACGTCTGTTTCTGTAAAATTACCTTGCAAATAAGACAGCGAAGGTTCTTCAAATTTCTTCACCAACTGTCCTTTATAAAATTTCCCACCAAACTCTTCGATCTTTCCAAACACACCATATTTGGCCATACCGTACTCAAATGGAGTGAACTCCACCCATTCTAAACAAAATACAAAGTATTTGATATTAAAATGCACTAAGACCATGGCCCTTATGCTAGATCTCTAGGGAAAACAGTTTAGAACTGATATTTGTTGTGTTGGTGTAATGTATTCAGGTGAATAAGATGCTTGTGATGTTACTCTGAGTGTATATCCACACCGGGCAGGATTGAAAAATATGCCTGGCCACGGTGGGAATCGAACCTACGACCTTTGGAATACTAGCCCAATGCTCTGCCAACTGAGCTACGCGGTCAGGTCGGTTCGAGTATGTAATATTTCGGAACTGAGTCTAGTTCCTTCGATATCAGTGTAATCTAATAACCATGATATTAGAACGGATAGAGCTATCCAGTATAAATAAGTTAGTCTAGTTTAGGTTTCCTCCTGTATTAAAACTGGATCAATACGAGATGGTCCTTACTAAGCCTCTGGGGAGAACAGCTTAAAAGCAATAAAACTATCCAGTTTAAATAGAGTTAGTTTAATGTTTTTGATTATATTCACCTGAGTAATATAATGTTAATGTTTTTGATTATATTCACCTGAGTACGTAACATCAAAACACACAGAGTTAGTTTAGTTTGGTTTTTTCCCTGTCTGTATCTCTAGGGAGTACAGTTTAGAATTGGGAGAGCCATCCAGCATTAATTAAGTTTAGTTAAAGTTTCCTAGTTTAGAGGAATGTTAACAGACTGACTAGAGTCAGTTTGACTTACCATTAAATTCCTTTTCTGGTACGTCTAAACGTACTCGGATGCTTGTTGTGATTGGAAGTGGCGCTTCACCAAGACTCACGTTCTTGCTCTGGTCACTTAGTTTGGATTCTTGATTCTAGCGAGAGAGAAAACACTACATTACAGCCAATAGACCTCACCGATGTCAGGGGCAGATAAAGATTATATTCCCAAGTTTTCCTGGACGAATTTGTTTCTTGCTGTTCTTAGGCTAAATACCACCATATTACCACCATCGTACTGTATATTGCCATCAGTATTATCATCATCACCATATTACCACCATCATATTACCATCAGTATTATCAATATCATCATCACCATATTACCACCATCATAACCATATTACCACCATCGTATATTACCATCAGTATTATCATCATCACATATTACAACCATCATATTACCATCAGATGTATTATCATCATCATCATCACCATATTACCAACAGCAGTATTATCATCATCACCATATTACCACTATCATAACCATATTACCACCATCGACCATCGTATATTACCATCAGTATTATCATCATCACCATATTACCACCATCATATTACCATCAGTATTACATCATCATCATCACCACCACCATCATCATCTATAGTATCTTACAATAGTTAATACTTACATCCAGGAGGTAATCACCGACAAACAATCCAAAAAAATCCACAAGTCGGACAAGTTGACCTCTGTTTGCTTTCTCTTGCATTTTATCAGAAAGTTAGCCACATGAAAATGACTCGTTTTGCTTGTCCCAAATTTCTTTTTCAGCTTGTCTGCCATGTCTTGACATGTTAGAGTAGCGGGCCAACCGTCGTTTTGGTAGAGTGTTGATATGTACCTGTTTAGAAGAAATCGAGGACATTGGCAATAAAAAATAGTTTAGTTCGTTTGAAAGAACTCTTAAAACTATATATTAAACTCTATTACAGATTGTTTATATCTTGCTTAGTTTTCAAAATATTTCGACTGAAAAAAGTGAGCTGTTCGCCATCTTGGATTATTGAGGATATGCATGTTACGTCAAGAGAGGGGTCGCGCTAATTTTTATCTTGAGAGTAAGCGATCAATATGGCAGGGTTCGTAGTCTCCAGTTTAGTTCGTTTGAAAGAACTCTTAAAACTATATATTAAACTCTATTACAGATTGTTTATATCTTGCTTAGTTTTCAAAATATTTCGACTGAAAAAAGTGAGCTGTTCGCCATCTTGGATTATTGAGGATATGCATGTTACGTCAAGAGAGGGGTCGCGCTAATTTTTATCTTGAGAGTAAGCGATCAATATGGCAGGGTTCGTAGTCTCCAAGACCAAAAAATTTCAAAGACTTTCAAAGTATTTTCTGCCTATTGTCAAAGACTTTTCAAAGACCTTTGAGAGCAATCAGGTGTCGAAAAATTGCGATGTATAAGCACCATTTTTACCAGGTAATTAGTCCCGTCAAATCACATCCTAAAATGCACTTTTTCGTCGATATTTGCGAAAATCTTGCTTCAATCAATCTATTTTATTAGCTAGGAAATCGTATAATCAAATAATCACTAAAGAATTTAAAGACTTTTAAAGACTTTCTTCGCTTTTTCACACACTTCAAAGATTTTTCAAAGACCTTAAAGACCTGCATTCAAATTTAAAGACTTTCAAGGATTTCAAAGACCGCTATGAACCCTGTATGGGTCCAATTGACAATATTTAACTATTATTTTGTGTTTCTCAACCGCCAGATACATTTAAAATGGTAGCTAACTGTATATACATTGCCCAAGGATAAATTAATTTTGGTTCAATTTCAATGAAAATTGGATAAGAAATTTGCAATGCATAATTATTTTTGCTTCACATACCACGAGGAGCCAGATAGTCCAGTTACATACGAAGAACAATCAAGTATGCCGGATTCTTGAAGAGCACAAAATACTCCTGATAATCCACATACAGCCCTACATCCACCTCCTGATCCCATGATACCAATCACTGGTACCTTCAATGAAACAAAAAAGGATTAAAAACCAAACGGCACCAATATTTCGACTGCATGTGTACAGCTCACGGGAAATTTGAACAACTTCCTATAACATCGTTTCCAAACTAGAAAAGATGGGCAAACCATAAAACATAATAAAGCTGCGAATTAATGGGGATACGATGGTAAAAACCATGTTTAATATTTACAATTAAAGGTATTTTCCTGTGCATAGGAAAAAAAGTACCATTAAGAGGAAATTTTTTTCAATGTCACGTAAATATTTGCAATGAAAAGTGTTCAAAACCTAAAATCTTTTTGGCGTTCCTCTCAAAATTACTTTGTTTTAGCTTTATTCTCTAGTTTATAGAGTTAGCAACCTTTTTAAATGCACCTGCCGGTTGAGAAACATAAAATAATAGTTAAAAATTGTCAATTAAAATACAATTATCAATAATGCTTTAAAATTGACGCCATATTTACAGCCATACAAGCAAAACTTACTGAACTTCAGACATCATTTTTTCTTTGGAATATCATCTAAAATCTCTTCATTTTAGCATTATTTTACAGATAAAGCACTAAACATACTCACTCGAGAAACTCACTCGTGCATGTTTTTTTCCAAATTGCACTCAAAACCATACTTGATTACATTTTTTAACAAGGATAACATGGACTAGTGGGGCAAATGCCCCGCTGGGCCCCTTCCTCTGCCCCACCACTGAAGAAAAAAATGGCCTATTGCCCCAGGGCCAGGGCCCTAGGACCTGTATTGAGTAAATGCCTGTTTAACATTGAAAAGAAGTTTAAAAAACAAAATTTGTTGGCGAGCATACTTAAACTTATGTTGTGTTTGAATGTTTAGCATGCAATTTATTACAAAAAGAAGATTTGAGAAGCTAAGATTTTTTTTTAATGTGTTCTCAGAATGCAGGAAATGCTATTTGAGACCCAAATTTTAAAATTTTTCTGGCGGGGCATGCCCCCAGACCCCCCTAGCTAACTCGTGCCTGCGGTACTCGGCTCACACCTTTGGCAATCGCATATTATCCTGGGGGGAGGGCAAGGACAATGGTCCCTTTGGCAGTTTTGCCCCACCACTGAAGAATCCTTAACAAATGCACTGGTCAATTTTGAAAAACCAATCAGACCTCGTCAATGTTCTTTGGTGCTCTGTCTTCCTCCATGATCGTTGGCATGTGTTTCAATATTTTTTCCTTTCTTTTCTGTAGAAATTCCTTCTCTTTATCACATAAGTCGTAGCTCAGTCTCAATTCCCTGGTGTCGCTAAAATTCAGAAATCTTTGTTAATTTTTATATGATAGACATATTTAACAAGTTTACCCTGCTTGTGACGTCATCAAAAACTCAGTTAATTAGGTCAATAGACCTTTCCCCTTTTAAGTGAAATTTTGATCTAGACTAGCCTGGACAAAAATTTCATCACAGCTTGAAAGAGCATCACAAAATTAGTAATATTCCGCGGAAGTTTCGTTGCAAAATGTTGTAAAATGCGGATAATATAGCCTTGCGAAGTTTGCCGTTTTTCAGTCATTTTGCATTACGAAATTGATAATCAGATGATCAAACTGATTATCAATTTCCCATTTGTAATACAAAATGACTGAAAAACGGCAAATTTCGCAAGGCAATATTATCCGCATTTTACAACATTTCGCAAGGAAACTTCGGAATATTACTAATTTTGTGATGCTCTTTCAAGCTGTGATGAAATTTTTGCCCAGGCTAGTCTAGATCAAAATTTCACTTAAAAGGGGAAAGGTCAATTATAATAGCAAGATGGTGGACTGTATATTGTTTTTGGTCAAAATATTTCGAAAACCAAGCAAGGTACGAAAAAGTTGTAAAGGTCTTCATATATAACTTCAAAAGTTCTTTCGAATAAGACAAAGTTCATTTTTATTGCCTTTTCCCTTTAAGGACCACAATAATCAGTGGCGAAGCCAGCCCGACAATTTGGTCATGTTATGCAAATTATAAATCATTATCATTATTCATTTCATTAGAAATTGATTGTTTTTACGGTCTATGAACACGGAAATATTTGCAAAGCTTGACCAAATTGTCGGGCTGGCTTCGCCACTGTCAATAATCATTTCTATGCTTACTCATATTTGACCAACAATTTCAGCTCGAGATTTGTTGTCTATAAAATAAACAAAGTTTATAACTAGGTTTAGTTGTAGCTATATGTAGCTAATGCCTTTTATTCATATCAGATGCCCTCCGGCCCTCTCTCACCAGGGGAGTGATATATTTGACATGGGAACCCTGCGTTTACTGTTCTAGAACATTTGGAACACTGTTCTGGAACGATATAAAATGGTGTGAACATGGTGTTCTGGAACAGTGTTTAGTTTATTATATATGCGTGCAACCATGCATTACTATATTAATTAGTTATTCGGATAATAAAGAGTATAATGATTTGCTGTTATTTGCATATCTAAGTGTGCTTTTGCAACGTTTTTAGTCGTTGGTTTGGCTCAACCCTGCATGGCGTCCAAATAGCATATAATAAGTATATGTCGATATATAGCAGTTAACCCTTCAAAATAACGCTCTATACAGTGTGTATTGGATACACAAAACATGTCGCCTCCATTTCCGATCACGTGAAAATAGGCAGTGTCACGTGTCTGTTCTGGCTGCCCCTACTCGAAAATCGGGGTAGTCAGAACAGTTCAGAACAGTTCAGAACAGTCATGTGACTGTCTTCTGTTCAATTCCATTAGTGTTCCGAAAATCCAGAGTACTCCAAACAGTGAATGGAGCAGCTTGCTCGTGCTACACCATCAGTGGCGAACACTTCACGAAAAATTGGGGAAGCGAAATTTTCAACATATATGCCAAACGGGTCTAAGTTGTCTGAATCGTTCAGACATTTGATGAAATGAGTAACGAATCCAGAGTTGTGCCATTTGACTGGCATTAGATACTTTTTCCAAGACGTCAATTAAGCATAACAATTAGCGTTGTTGTTGAATGTAGTTATAGCTATCAATTCTAATGGTTTAAAAATGTTATTAGTAGAGCTGTAAGGAATCCCACACAGAACAAAACAGATTGTATAAAATGCGTATGTTGTGGCATCATTGGCATACATTGTACAGAATCGTATATTGCTTGCTATATTGCTAACTTTACCTTAAGTTTTATTAAATACTGTAGTCATTATTTAATATGACAATTACGTTATATGGGTGTGATTGCATGCTTGCCATTTGCTCCTAAACAATGCTTGTGAATTGTGATATTTGGTATCACACTTTTATAGGTCTTTCAAAATTATACACACACATATACCATCAATATCCCGCTAGAGACATTCTCTTATACCTGGTTAACTTTCAGTATTTTCGTGATCTCAGTGTCCAAATCAAGGTCATCCAAGTCAACTTGTTGTGTACCAATCATGTCATCTGAACCATAATCCGAATCTTTCATTGTCACTTCTGGTGAACAGAAATACAACACATTGTCAAATACAATCCGACCCACGTACAGTATATACATTTTGAGTCGTTCAGACAAAAACATAGCACAACGACTTCTGACCAAAACATAGAACAATGACATCATCATTTCTTGATAGACTATATGATCTCAAAAAATATTGCAGAGACACCATCCATTCATGGTAAAAACCTAATTCTATATTGGAGGGGGGTGGGGGAGGGTGTAAAAATCCATGCACACGCATACCCAGTGTATTTTTCTTGTCATGATTCAAGTAAAATGTAAAGTTTTCATTCCAGACTGTGTTGTATGTATCAGACTTGACCGTCGTCTGTTGCTTGCTGTTAGGACTGGTACGAACTCTCAACATCACATACGGATCTGGTCTTTCCCCTAGAACAGAAAAAAATTATTAAGTTATTGAAACGTAAAGATTTGTTCATAATAGAGGCACGGATTCTGCATTGGTTTCACTCACATTGCGTCAGGAATCCTTCAACGCTGATATCACTTGCTTTGACAACTGTAACTGTCAACTTCTTGATTTGCTCTTGTTTTACCTAATATTCAAACAACAAGTTCTTATTTAGTGATCTTACTCAAACAACAAGATCTTATCTCCTTTATGCATAACCTCTGATATTGATGGTCAATTAAATATTTAACAGACATGCATGAAAAATCAACCGTAACTTCATTAGCGAACATTCCAATAGTCATTAGACACCTTAAGATTGACGTATTTTTCGCAAACGTCTAACCGCTAAACCACTAGAAACCACGTGACCAGGAGCTTGCCGTCACGTTTGCCATAAATCGCTCACGTTTTAAACCTCAAGAGTGCATTCTACAGGTAAGTGATTTACTTCAGCATTTTATTCAACTGTTATTACTTCATTGCACGTATATGACATATATTAAGACAAATATGCATCTTATCTTTGATTTGGATGGATAAAAGTTGTTTTTAACGAGAAATTTTTCATATTCTGAGTGCTTTATTTTAAGTCGTGTTTTGAATCGTTTTAATAAATAAACGTTTACATTTGAACATTCACGATAAAGCAAGTTCAAAATCACTGATGACCTTTTCACAGTCCGTGTTTAAACACTGACTTGCATATTTCTTACTTACATTTATACTTTCATATTTCAATTCAAATTGGTAATGACATTTGTTTTTTTGACAGGATGGCACAATTCAAATGGATCCTATACTATAGTTTCGACGGAAAAAAATTGAACGCGAAGAAAAACGTCAATCTTAATTTCATATTTGCAAGTACGGCAAACGTGAAACCGCTAACGGCAAACCGCGGTTTGCGGTTAGGCGTAAATAAAATAAACGTCAATCTTAAGGTGTCTATTAGTATCAAAAAGCAAACGCGCCTTTTCATTTCAACGCGCCTTTTCATTTCAACTTATTCAATCGAATGAAACCGTTTTATTGTCTCGGTACAAGGAATTTAATTTTTGATATTAGTGCCACTATCTGGTCTTGTCTACCTGAAACGTTTGACGACCCATGGCTTGACGAGATATTCTTCGATAATCACTAAAAACCCAACAAGAAAAGTTTATTAACAACAATTATATAATAACGTTAAGAATGCAAGCGCTTTCATTGGTCGAGAGCCATGATCTATTAGAGGACAGACGCACGGAATTACGTCACAATTAAGGTAGCCAATAGCATTCCTTTATTTGTACAGATCATGTACGCGTGGTATTTGTAAAATTTCGACTTTTTCAAATTTCCAAATGTTTGGGTGGATAAAAAGTTTAATTCGGGGTTATAGATACACAGTATGACATAATGTGGGAAAAACAAAAAAAGTGACGGCCATGGCCAGAAATCACGGACATGATTATTCTTCTTCCTAACTAACTTTGCATATCTTTAATACATAACCCGTTGAAATATGGCTTCGATAGTAGATAGTAAATGATATTACGCGATGTTTTAAATCGCAAAATCAGAGAATATTGGTAGTCGTTTGCAATTTGCCTCGATTTCTGGTTGCAGAACAAGGTCTGTTGAAATAAATCGTGTAGTGTTTGCCTGCTGTAAGTTCCTGCCTATTCTGCATTTTCGTTTGTTTCTAGTGGCTACAGTGCGGTATTATTATATAGAGTTAAATAAACAAATTCCGTACAAACTAACCTCTGTACAAATACTGAAAATGCAGAATGGTCACGAACTAAAATCAAGTCAACATTACGCTAAATACTTCGACAGACTCACTTTGATTTATAACCAGCGACCGAAGCAAATTGCAAACCTGACGACCTACCATATTCTTTGATTTTGGATTTACAGCATCGCGTAATATAATTAACTGTTTACTGCAGAAGCCATATTTCAGAAGGAAGTAGAATAAATCATGTCCGTGATTTCTGGCCATGCCCACTCGAACCTGCGATTCTGCGCTCTAACTCAGCAAGAGTTATTACTGGAGATAACTGAGAAACTCATTCCAATGATGCCCTGAGCAAATTGAATTGGCTACCCCTAAATCAGTCACTCAAGATTGGTTGATATACGCTCTTGCTTATGCGCAAAGTAGTTCCAACAACGACATTGGACCAGTTTCAATTGCAGTAAATGATCAATACAATTTACGTAGTAATTGCACTATGCTGAAGCTAGCAAAACTAAGAATGCAATGACTAGCGAGTTTTAGCTGCCATGCAGTTAAAACCTGGAATAAAATGCCAACTGGACTGAAAAATCTTACGATCTCTGATAGAGTATTCAAACACTACCGTGTATAAACAAATTTAAATAACAATATAATAATACAGGAATATAAATGCAAACATATTATAATTTGCATAAAGCTAAGAAGTACTTACATTCAAATTCTAGTACAACTTCGAACTTTTCCAATTGACAGTTGTATAATGTTTTTGCAAAACTTGCCATCCTTCCTTCTTATATAAGCTGTGGTCCCTGTATGGCCAACGGGCTGTATACGTCACTAGGTCACATCAGTGACGTCAGTCACGCATGCATCGAAACCTGAAATTTGAAAACAAAATTCTAGGTTAAAATCGACAAAAGGAAATAGAGTTTAATCTCGCATTAAAATGTTCAAACATTACTTGATATATTATTGCCTGAAAAGGTTCTCGGATAAGCCTTGTTCATACTAACAAAATTTCTGTGATCACAGTAGGAATTTTGCATAGGTAAATTATAACTTAACTGACTCACGCCCGTATTCTAAAAGCTCACTCATACTCGAAGAGTGGAGGTTCAATCTGAGCTTCCCTTGAGTGTCATTGCTGTTTTTGAATAGCTGGAGGGTTAGTGTCGTACCTTACTATATGACTACTCACCGCCTTCTATTCAAAAACAGCACTCTGACACTCAAGCGAAGGGAAGTTCAGATTGAACCTCCACTCTTTGAGTATGAGTGAGCTTTTTGAATACAGGCGTCACTGTTTACAACCGACCCCAAACTTTCTACACAACTAATTATTAGTGGGTATAATATAAATGCGAGATGAATTTTGGCCATAAGTTTATGAAATTGGTCATGGTTGAACAAATGTTATGGTTGTTTTAAAATCAAGTCAGGTTCACCCACTAGACCATTGAAATCGTGCATCAGTTTTGTTAAGTGTCACCTAATAGATTTGATGACCTTTGGCTCTGCTAGACAACTTCAATAATCTTAAGCCTGGTTCACTAGCAATTTTGTCAGCGATTTTGTGTTTCTGACGGATGCAAATGAGTGAACTCGCACACAAAAGTATAGAGTCGCTTTTCAGAAGTGAACAATTCTAAGTCTTTTGCATGTCATTCATTCGATCACATTGGCCAGGAAGAGAAAAATTGCCGACAGAATTTCCAGTGTGAACCAGGCTTTAACACGCTCTGGGCCACCGGAAAGTAGTGATTTTTTCAAGCTTTGATTAAAGACATCATAAACTCGTGTCGGTTGACTGACATAACCCAGATTTAACTTTAGTATATAAAAATTCGAGTTTCCTTTTATTAATTGTGGGATCCATATTCGCATAGACAAAATAGTTTGATCATTTTTCAAACATTTGTATCTCCAGTTGAAAAAAATCACTATCACGTACAACCGACCCTTGTCCAATCTCATACGTCACTTCGATGCCGCGCATGCGGATTACGACTAATAAACGAGTTGTTTTGTAGCACTGATGACGTAGGTCACGCGCATGCAGAAATTTTTTTGGGGATCACTTTCTTTGGGAGCTTGGTAACCGCGCCTGTTATGATGCAATATAGGAAGCCTGCACAGCAGGAAATAGATTGCGGTCGAATTCTTTGACGCGACTTATATATTGTATACTTATTCACATTAATATCGCTGCGGTTTTGACGCATTATTCATTGGGTCTTTCCAAAAGCTTTGTACCCATAAATAAAATGTAATAAAAAGAGAACACATTACAATTTTTTTTTTATAAAATAGATCAAAATATACCATAAATATCGAAATATTGAATTTCGTTTTGAATATATGCTAGTATAAAGGTCATACGTTCGTGCGTATTCGAAATATAGACACACAGTCGTCATAGAACACATTCAAATTATTCAATTAAGTAAAATTAACTATGAATTTATTTTAAAAGATTCCCTGTTTGTATTATATTGTGCACTTTGACTAATACTGTGTGAGTCGTGTGAGTGTATGTCACAGATAGTCTCGGTTGAAACGTGATGTTTATACTAGCCGACAAATATGCAAACCACACACTCGAATGCTTATATGCGCACTGATGTCTTTATCATGATTATCATGTTTTATATCAAAATTCAAAGATCAAAATTTGCCTGGGCGCAATGCAGAATGTAAATAAGACACGTTTATAGATTTTGCATTATAAACTGTGTAAGCTGAGGGCGATGCACAAATTCAGTTGTAGTAACTTCTAATATATACAGTATTTTACATTCGTACTTCAGCATTCAGTTTACTTCAGGCTATTATTGCCACACACGCTAAAGGTTAATGTAATTAATGATATAATAGACTTTATATGGAGTACCTGCATAACCCCAAATTTACATCAAGTGTCCCAACAAATCCAAATATGTACCCTGAATAAAAGTCGCGGTTACCAAGCCTCCCACGGAAAGTGATTCCCCAAAAAATTTCTGCTTCCCGTTGTGCGTATATGTATACTCGTCCAATCGGAAGATATTTCGTTAATTCCCACTCAATTTTGGATTTTTATGATGAGGTTTAACCGTCACTATCGTTCAAGGTTCACAAAC